TGAGGGGAAAAGGTCATATGAGTTGTTGTTAGCTAGCTAAGGACAGCCAGATCGATATAACGTGATGTGGTGCCATGCGTGGGTATTGAAAAGAATGCCATATATCCACTAAGCTTACAAAGTTAACCGGTTCAAAGTCTAAACCCATTATTGTTTATGATGACTTTGTTCTCCCTACGACAATGCTAAACTTGGTTTTCATTATAGATTAGTGTTAGTTAAAGAGGAGGAGTAGTTAGACCATCGAATCATAAGCAAATTAATTGCGACTTGATGGCCAGTTCATCATTCGAGTGAAGGCGATTCAGTATGTTAAGCTAAAGCGTGGGGCCAGTGTCCTCATCTATGTAGATGTTTTCAATGAGTGACAATATTGCTATGGATGGAACTAAATACCAAATCCCGATATAAAAAAAATTATCGATTTTCATATTAACAGGCTTCTTCTGAAAGAGCAATGAGACGAACCCAATGACAAAAAGTATTAATTCCTGGAGAGTCCGTTGCACGATTGAAAAGCTATGTTCATCGGGACTGAACACGACACACTGATCCATCTGGTTACTATTTGATTCGTTTACTAAAATAATGAGCCCGATTGACACTCATCAGATGATTGTTACTTCGGTTAGTTTGTCCTAATGAAAGATAGTGTAAAGTTTACTATATCTATATAGCTTAATTTTTTTTGTCCATGCTTGTTGAAAGTAACAAAAGAAAGCAATCCCTAAAGTACCCCATTGGGTTGGCCTTCTTTTTATTCAATTCCCTTTGCTTGTAATAGTGGAATTGCTGGTTTTCTTTGGGTTTTGGTAACAAACTAGCAATGTTGACTTGGGATGGAAGCATAGTAGCCTCAATTGGAAGACCAAACCACATCATTGACCACCATATTGAGCTTTGTGTCTATAATCTATATAGTGTTGTTGATTTCATACATATAACATATAGATCACTAGCCTAATTAGCTAAGCCCAAAGCTTCATTTGGCCTAGTGATGGATGGATAGTTACAAGGGCATAGAACTTTCTATCCTTACCCCCTCTAGAGGAGAACTAAACGTTATCATAATATTGACAAAAGATGTCAACATAGAGTAGCTAGCTAGTATTGGGTTGCATTGACCTAATTAAAAAGTTCTTTTGCAAGGTTTCGATGAAATTTGGAAAGGCATTCACCTAGTTCAAAAGCATGCAGGGTTTGGGGATCTCGATGGCCGCTAATCCTCGATCAAGCATGATTGTAATAGCACCATATTGCCAAATTTCTTTCAGGTCGGTAAGAACATTAGTGATCAACATCAACATTACACAAGAGAATTTGCTTCTATCACTATCACCCATGAACAAAATAAGAAGAACACCCTTCTCGCTTTCACACATAACATCACAAATTCTTGCACAATGTATCACTAAGCTAAACATCACTTCGAGAAGAATCGGTTGTAATCACAATGGTGGGCTAGATTTTCTCACAATAAGTATATAGCACATTGTTTACAATCAAGACAAAATGGTCTATCCTTCCTTCCCCTCCGCTTTCCATAGGGGAAAAGCCAAATGAGAAGAGGTTGATAAGCTTTTTTTGGCTAGTGGTGTCACATTTACACACTTCTTTGGGACCTCTCTCTCTCTCTCTCTCTCTCTCTCTCTCTCTCTCTCTCTCTCTCTCTCTCTCTCTCTCTCTCTCTCTCTCTCTCTCTCTCTCTCTCTCTAATCTCTATATGGATATGGGTCAACTTTGCGTTTGGTTTTGGAATTCTTTCTTCAAAATCATGAATTCATGATGGCGATCGATGATAATTGGGATTTGGCAAAGACATGTTTAGGGACTTTTGTCTGTATGTATGTGTCCAATTGTCATGAAGCGGCTCGCCAAGTTATGATATTTTTCTAAAGGGAAAAAGGGCATATGAGTTGTTGTAGTCGATCGAAGATCCAGTTAGCAAAGGACGATAGCCAGATCGATATAACGTGATGTGTGGCATGCATGGGTATTAAAAGAATGTTTATGTTATATAACTTACAACCGCTAAGCTTATAAGTTAACCAGTTTCGAAGTCTAAACCCATTATGGTTCATGATGACTTCGATCTTCCCTAACACAATGCTAATTAAAGCTTGGTTTGATTTTAAGGAGATCCTCTTTCGAAAGAGTACTAGTGTGTTGGTTTGATGCACTTTTTTCATAATCAGGGTGATTGCGATTGACTCTGTACTTTGTAGATAAAACGACGATCATGATTTTTTTTTGGGAATACTTTCGATATCAGAAGTGTTGTAGATCGAGCTGAAGAGACCATATATATTCTGGCCGCAATGAAATTATAACTCCTATTTGTGCTTTTTTTTTGTCAAAATTAATGAAGATTCGAGCTCAAGGTTGATTGAAATTAACCAGTTCGCGCTAAACCTTAAAAAAACCACGGTTATGCGGTACACTCAGACCAAACAAAAAGAAAGGTTAAGAAAGAAAGCAATATCCCCTAAGTATGCATTGAGTTCGCCTCATTTTTCTTCATTCCTTTACGTGGATTAGTGGAATTGCTGCCTAGTTTTCTTTGGGTTTTGGTAACAACCGTTGACTTTGGGTGGAAACATAGAAGGAGCCTCAATTAGAGTGGACCAAATCAAAACAAACGGCTTTTATTGATCACCATATCGAGCTCTGTGTTGTTGATTTCATACATATAGATTTGCTGGCCTAGCTAGCTAGCCCAAAGCTTCTTGTAAGTTGTAACCCTAGTGATGGATAGTTACAAGGGCATAGAACTTTCTATCCTTTAATCCCTTTCATGCATGAGAGAGTTAATAAGTCTTTTACTCTAATGTAGTGTTGACAAAAATGTCAACATAGCTAGGGTAGCTAGTATTGGGATTGCATTGACCTAATCAACAAGCTATTTTGCAAAGTTTCATGAAATTTGGAAAGGCATGCACTAGCTAGCTAGCTTTAAATCAAAAGCATGCAGGCTTTGGGGATCTTGATGGCCACTAATATTTGATAAAGCCATGAGTACATGTACATTATAGACATGCTATGCTTGTCTAGGTACAAATCAATCATATAATCTAGTTTATTGTTTCTAGATAAATGTGATTGACCATAATAGTCGAATGTATATAGCGCCACAGATGTTATTATATCCGTATTCTTTTAAAATCAATTTTGGGGTGTTCTATTCCGCAGGATGACCGATTTGATGTGGATATTTTTCTTTGCTTAGGGCATGCTACATTTTCTTGTTTTACTATGCATAAAATCACAATTATATGCAGATATTATTTCCCTTAAATGCCCCCTCGCACGAAATTTATAAATGAGTTTGAAATTTTTCTAAGTCTGCTCGTTGCTGCTAATAATTTGAATTGTGAGGAGAAGTTTGGGAATGAATTTATATCATTCCTCAGATTGGAACTTTTGAAGCCAATGCCTTCGCTTTGCAATAATATGCATACAAATTTGGGGTAATTTAATCACTTATGCCGACAACTATAGAGCTAACAAAAGTTTTTGTTTGCTTGTCGGCCAAAATGGGATTATTTAGAGTTTATCTATCTACACATGGGTGATTAGTAAAATTCTTGAGCTCCTTATTTTCAGCAGTAATTTCCTTTTTTTCTTCTTATTTTTTTCTCATTCATACTTTATATTTTTGCCTTCATTTGGATTTTTTTTTTTGCCTGCTCAGATCCCAATCAATCACTAATTGTATTTGTGGGCAAGTTGTTGGGGTGTGTTTGGCTCTCTTTGCATGGATACCAAGAAGCTACAACTATTCCAATTTTCAATTTTCATTGGTTTGGAAAATAACAACTTTGAATATATTTTTATTGTTCAAGATGTAACGAATCGGTCAATTGTAATTTTACCTCACACATTTTACTACCATTTATATCTAGTTTGACATTAGTAGTTAATCATATTATTCGAGATATACGAATAATGTATTGTACACGTTACTATTAGTTTGTTCACTTATTATTACCAAACAAGATTGACTTCCATTTTGAGCATATCATGTATTTATCTTTTTGTCTTGAATCCATCCCAATTGAATTTGTTGTTGGATCAAGAAATTTTATTGGCTTTTGTATATTTGTCAATACCTGAATTATTGAGATAAACTGATTTTTTTTCTTCATATTTAAGACTTCTAAATTGTGGCAAACCCTAACCTTTTGGCGTGTCTCTGAATCACTACCACAACCTTTATTAAACTAAACTCCCTCTAATCCTACACAATATGAGAAAGCTTTTAAACAAACGAAGCACAAATCCCTAATTAGCTAAAAACAGTAGAAAATTGGGGGAGAGAGGGGAAAAAGAATTTTATCATCATTTTTATATTCCAGGGGAATTAAATGAACATTGGGGTTGATGCATATTGTTTCCTCCAAAGTCAATAGCTGCCCATTAGAAGGTCCCTTGGTATTTGGTAAACATCATTGGAAAGTCATCTTCCCCACCCTAAACCCTAACACCCATTTTTATTAAACAAAAAATCACATATGATAGTCTAGTGGGTGAATATATATTCATTCTCTCAGCTATGTAATTAACAACAAAAATGTCCTAGTATTTGTGAAACCGAATCATACTGGTGGTCAATTCGATAAAGTTTCATATCCAATACTAAATCACAGTTGTAAGCCGTATGAAACGTTTAACCCCGATTATATCATAAAATACCTACCACTAATTGTTGCATTATAACATCCGGTACGGTTTTACAATTCCAGCCACATACTATCCGAACTATTTATTTTCAGCCATTAGTTCCAGCAAAATAAGTTATATACGTCAAAACTTAGTAAAGACATATCAAACTATTTATATGTCACCTATGTTAAAAATTATTGATTTACCTAGTCAATCGGACATCAATACCTAAAATCTCCTCCCGTTCTTACCATGTATGAGTCAGTTCAGGTTTTTTTATGAAATTATAATCCATTAGTAAAACTATATATAGACTAAGAAATTGAGTTCTAATTCTACAACGAACTTCACAGATGAACTATTCGACAAAACACAATATGGTACAAGGACTATTTAGTAATAGAACTTTAACACAGTAGAAGTCCCAATTGCAATCACATCTATCATCTTCTTGCAGTTCATACACTTAACACCACACTCGCCAAGTTTTTTTTTTTTTAATTTGATAACCTAGGGAATCTCAGCCCCACGTGCTGCTTGAGCGACAACGGGGCCTACTAAACTACTGGGGGTACCTGTATACTAACTGGGGCTTTCTGCTACCAACATCGAAGAGGCTTCGCCTCCGATACTAAGGGTGCCGCCACTAGAAATCGAACTCAGGACCTCCCAAATCCAGAGCTCAATTGGTCCAATGTTTCATACACTCGCCAAGTTTGAGTTACAATCCAATCCAATACATCCATCATTTACCTAGTCAATCGGACATCAATACCTCAAATCTCCTCTCGTTCTTACCACGTATGAGTCAGTTCAGGTTTTCTATTAAATTATAATCCATTAGTAAAACTATATATAGACTAAGAAATTGACTTCTAATTCTACAACAAACTTCACAGATGAACTATTCGACAAAACACAATATGGTACAAGGACTATTTAGTAATAGAACTTTAACACAGTAGAAGTCCCAATTGCATTCACATCTATCATCTTCTTGCACTTCATACACTTAACACCACACTCGCCAAGTTTTTTTTTTTTTTAATTTGATAACCTAGGAAATCTCAGCCCCACGTGCCGCTTGAGCGACAGCGGGGCCTACTAAACCACTGGGGGTACCTGCATACTAACTGGGGTTTTCTGCTACCAACATTGGGGAGGCTTCGCCTCCGATACCAAGGGTACCGCCAAAAACACTCAAGTGGCGCCACTAGAAATCAAACTCAGGACCTCTGACTTCCAAAGCTCAATTAATCCAATATTTCATACACTCGCCAAGTTTGAGTTACAATCCAATTCATCCATCATTTATTTCCCCTCTAGTACAGTACATTAGTTTCCCTATCCCCCCCTTTATATTATTCAAAATCCCTCACCAGTCATTGCCTTCCTGGCAACACTCTCTGTCTCTGCCCTCCTTCATTCAATTCCCCTACTCTTCCCTCTCCCCTCCAACATTTTGACCTGCCCTTTACTCCACTTCACTTCTTACCACTGTAAAAAAAAAAAAAAAAAAAAGAGGAAAGCATGAACCTTTTTACCATTCTACCCTCACCCCACTTCCCATATTCTCATCCCCTACAAACCCACATGACACCAAGGTCTCCACATTAACTCCTGCCATTCTTGGCCTTCTCTTCACTCTCATTCTTCTTCCTCCCTCCCCACCATAGCTTAGTAAAGCTCCAACCTTTTCATCACTTCCTCCTCCTTCTGCAGCTTCTCATCTACCATGCTTCATTCCCTTTCCCATAGCTTTACACCCAAATCCATGGATTGAGAAGTGGCTTTTTTATTCCCTCCCCAAATCACACTCATCGCTAAAAGCTTCAACCTTTATGACTTCCTTTCTCTTCTTTTGAATCTCATCCTTCCACTTTTGATTCACTCTTCTTCCCACAAAGCTTTGTACCCACAAACCATGGACTGGGTTTCCTTCCAAATCAAAGAAAGCTCCATTCTTTCCACTCCCCAATTCCCACAACCGCCGCCCCCGCCGACACTCGCCGCAGCCGCCTCCGGTGACGGCGGCGGCGCGTTCAACTTGGAGAACAAGGTGAGTCCAAGCATTCTACTAATCATAATAATCCTCGCCATCATCTTCTTCATCTCGGGCCTCCTCCACCTCCTGGTCCGGTTCATGATCCGACCCGGATCCGCACTTGGCCGCCGCGGCGACCAGGACTACGAACTAGACAGCGTCACGGCACTGCAGGGCCAATTGCAGCAGCTCTTCCACCTCCACGACGCCGGCGTCGACCAGTCCTTCATCGACACGCTCCCAATCTTCCTCTACGACTCCATCGTCGGCGGGCCCGCCGACAAGTCCGCGCCTTTCGACTGCGCCGTCTGCCTGTGCGAGTTCGCCGGCGACGACAAGCTCCGGCTGCTCCCGAAGTGCAGCCACGCCTTCCACATGGAGTGCATCGACACGTGGCTCCTCTCTCACTCAACGTGTCCTCTATGCCGGTCCTCCCTCCTCGCCGATTTCTCCGCCGCGAATCACGGCGGCGGGAACGGGAGCAACAACCTCCTCACCTGTTCTCCGATCGTTCTGGTCCTCGAATCTGGCAGCGAGAGAAGCTCCCGAGAAATCGAAACGAATAACAACAACCTCGGAAGGACTAATTCCATCCTCAGCGCTTGCTCGTTAGTGGGTTACCAAGGGGACAACGAATCGGGCTCCTGTCGGGTCGAAATTCCGCCGCCGGAGGCGGAAACCGGGTCCGGGTCGGGTCAGGACAGGGTCGTCCGGGTCAAATTGGGGAAGTTCAGAAATGTGGAAGGCAGCGGAAATGGCGGTGGTGGCGATGATAATGTGAGGAGATGCTATTCGATGGGCTCGTTTGAGTACGTGATGGACGAGAGCTCGTCGCTGCAAGTTCCGATCCGGTTTTCCCCTGCGAAGAAGAGGAAGCCGGCCGCCGGCGGTGCTCTGCACCGGCCTGCAATGTCGGTCTGCGGGTGCGAATCGGCGAGGGAGTTCGGCCGATTCGGCGAAGGGAACGCGAGCATTGTCCCGGCTGGGAACGGGGGCAGAGAAAGCTTCTCGATTTCGAAGATTTGGACGAGAGGAGGCAAGAAGAGTGAGGGAAAACAGGGGATTTCGGAAACAGGGGAGTTGAGTTCGAGGAGATCGGCAGTTTCGTTCAGGTTTCCGGTCAGCAGCGAATTGGGATTTTCCGGTGAACAGAGCTGCAGTGGTGGTGGGAATGGCGGCGAGTTGGGCGATGGAAAGACGCCGTCTTTTGCCAGGAGGACCTTGCTCTGGCTTGCCGGGAAACAGAACAAGGTGGTTCATTCAAATTTCACACCAGATGTTTAGGCGTATGGGTGGCTATCACTTTTAGTAGTCCTTTTCCGGTTTGGATTTGGAATTTTTCTTTTTCATTATCTTCCCTTCGTGTAATTCCTTGGATTCTTTTTCGGTTTTGTCAATGGGGGAGATTTGTGGAGTGCATGGATTTGAGTAGTCATAGGGGAAAGACAATTTGATATTAGTACAACTAAAGCACAGTGAAAGATTTTAGGCAATTAATTTTTCTACGGTATTTTCGTGTCTCGAATTTCACATCAACTAAAATGTTACGTTTAAAAGATAGATTATTATTTCTAAGGTAGTTTCTTATTGCTGACATATTTTATTATTTCCTTAAGAAGATTATTATTCAAAATAGGTACAGATGTCTAATAGATGATTATTATTCATGCAAGAAACTAGAAGTGATCCTAAAAATACCACTCAAAGATCGTTAAACTACAACAAAATAATGCGTGTTCTTATAATAATGAGAAACATTGTCACAAATCCAAGAGAGAGAATTATATGTTTAACTATATCGTACTATTTGAGAGTTATAAAGTTGTAAATTATAGTTGTTTGGGGGTAAAATTATAAGTTATGATATAATAAATAAGTAGAAAATTGAGAGTATATTCTAAGAAAACTGAGATGGAAAGAAAAAGAAATAAGATATGTCGTAATAAGAAAGATGTTTACGCTCCTACATCCTCTTTTATTTGTTAGTTAGATGACATCCGTCGCGAATCGATCGTGCCACATGGGTCGGATTAAAATTGCCACCATCGACTCCGTTTCTTGCAATTAGGTTATCATGTTCAAAATTAGGATGAGACGATAATTATGAATTCATAGCTAGTAGTATGAACCGTATGGTCTTGTTGTAAACTATAGCGAAGATGCTCTCCCTCATTCAATTCATGTTAACTTTTCTTTCTAGAGTGGTTGGGAGGGTTGAAAAGGGGAGGAAGTGTTAATTTATTCACAATAAAAGTGAGCTGCTTGCCATTACTGTTTGTGTAAATGAAGGTCAGGAAATGACGATTCAGATTTCAGATTCAAATAAATTCGACTGCATTAACTAGTTCAGGGGAACTTCCCCTTTTTCTACTATTCAAGATGAAGGTTTATATGGAGGGGAAAGAGAAGGGAGACTCTCGAACTTTGAAATCTAATCTTGCTGCGGCCATCCATTGTCTCGATTACTCTATCTAGATCCGTAAATATCGAGAGTCATACCACAACAGTTTTGATGAACGAAGTGGTGGTCATCGTCCTCAGTCCACACTATCTGCTCAATGATATAATTGGATATTCGATACCTATTTCTAGTTAGACCGACGAAGATTTCAGATTCCGAATTCGAGCTATGCATCTATACTTGATATCAAGAATTTTGTTGTGATCTTATCATCATCTTCCACAACTCAAAATTGGATTGTGATAAGAGACTGATGAGTGGTGACCGATTCACAGACATTTCGATTGCCACGTACTTACGTTTCCTACATTTTCATTAATGAAATCAGAAGAAAAAGGGGCATGAGGAAGTCCATGTATTTCATTTATTACCATCGTAGAGAAATTGTTGATTGCTAGAGGGCTCCAACGACGAAGGTGGAATGTTAGAAAGAGATGGATCGTAGGTTTCAAAGTTGGTCACGCAAGAGCTTGAAAGAAAACAGAGGAAGAAAAGCTAGGCCATGGATGGGTTGGATGGAGCAAGGAATGAAGGGAAAGAAAGAGATGGATGGAAGAAAGCAGAAGCCAAACTTGTTTTTGAAACGATGTGGCTTTCAAGTTACAATAATGGCTCTCATCTAACCATATTAAATGAAGAAGAGGGAAGTGTCAGAAGAAGAACCACCATGGTTAAAGAAGAGCTAGAGCTCGAAAGGGAAATGGGAAACTACCGGAAATTGCGCTATGATTTTGCTAGTGTTTTGATATTGATATTTTGGGATGGATATTGCCATTGATGGTTTGGGCTTGGATGGGGTCAGCTGGTTGATTCCTGCTCTGGAGTAGGGATGGCAATCAAACCCATGGCTGCGGGTACCCAACCGCCCCCGATACAGTCAACGCGGGGAATTCCCGCTCTGACCGGATATGGGGCAGGTATGGGTAAAATCCGCAAAATGTTTGATGGGTATGGGGCGGGTATGGTTTTGGCCTCCCCTGCCCCATACTTATACCCATCCCACAAAGAGAATTTCTTCACATATAAAAAAATATGTGGATTAAATTGTAATCTATCAATGGTGATAAGGATAACTCGAGGAAATAAATAGTAGAAATGCAATTGAGTGACCCCTTTAATCAAAATCTAATTCATTTTCCTCAATTCTACTTTCACTCTTTCACTTTCCCCCGCCCCTTGTCAACAAGATTATGTTAGTTAACTATTACTTAGTAGATGTATCAGAATCAGAAGATAATAATTTGAAAATATTATACTCTATATTATGTATTAATGGATGTTTTAGGATCATATACTTTGAACCATATTAAGAAAATGATTGTGTTTTGTTGACTTCATGATATTATAGGTTTGTTTAGAGTTATAATTAAAACTTTTCTTGTAAGTTTTAGATATAATAATGTTGGATGTACGGGTATTACCCATGGGCACCCGAAACCCACGGGTATGGGGATGGGTTTGCAAAACATTCCCCGCATAGGTATGGGGCGGGTATGGGTTTGGATAGTTGAAGATGGGGATGAGGATGGTTTAGACAAACCCGCCCCATTGCCATCCCTACTCTGGAGTTTTACTATCGTTATTGTAGAGGATATCACAAGTAAAGTATGACAGTACACGTTTTATTTTGCTTTTAAAACAAATTTTGAACACCCTAGTGAAATTGTAGAGAATGTTATCATTCACCACACCCTCGATGTCTAATAATTACCCACCTGTTCCGGAGGAAATTCTCCTAAATTATCAATAATCGACTTGTATGTTTATTTATGGTTAATTGCAAGGTTGGTCACTGAGTTTACTAAAAACGTTCATGTTTGGTCACTCAAAATATTTAATTCCATTCATGGTCATTAAGATTAGTTAAATAGTTTAAGTTTGGTCACTCTCCAATTATTAAGTTTTATTTTTATTTTTTAATAGTTGTAAAATGAGAAAATTGTAAATATTTAAATTTTAATATTTTTAATGGTCACATCACTTATTTAACGGTCAACTATAATAGTTGACTGCCACATCAGCAAAAACTAACGGAGACTAACGGAGAGTGACCAAACTTGAACTATTGAACTAATCTTAGTGACCATGAATGAAATTAAATATTTGGAGTGACCAAACATGACCGTTTTTAGTAAACCCAGTGACCAACCTTGCAATTAACCGTTTTATTTATAGTGATTTTGTGGAGATCGTGGGTGAAATACTATCCTATCTTCTGGGATATCAGTACGCATCCTCCTTTCGGATTGAATTTTTTTCCACATATGGTGGAATTTTTTTTTTTTACAGTCAAATTGATGGGAGATGCTAATTAATTAATAACCTCACGGGAGAACCGTTGGGGTTGGTGTATGTCACGCTTTAAATTTGGCTGTCGTGATAACTAACACATCAATCTCTCCATATTAGGCCAAGTTAGTACGTTAACCATTCTTAATGGCTCATGTGGGTTCGTCGTCCCTACTAGACTAGTGGAGTGGTGTGGTTAAAATGTTAAATAAACAACACATTGGTCCACCTTTCCTTTCATATCCATGTCAGTTTTCAGGACCTTATAATCGTGTGGGTTTCTGTCTAATGAACATTTTTCTCTTCATGACTTTTTTGTATCCTTTTGCTCTCTGTATTTCTCAGTGTCTCTGTTGGGTTAGGACCATGGTTGTCATGCCGGTGACATGTCACCCGGTTGAACCTGGTTCAACCTGTACCGGTCATGAAACCGGCATGACACTACTTGTATGATCGGTATGATCGACTTACACATTTTAAGTTAAATGACATCATTTTAATGAATTTAATGAATAAAAAAATTAATTTATTATTTATTTTATGATTGTAATAGTTAAAAGTTGATGATATTTGTTGGATTGTAACTAAATTGTCCACAAATATATTTTATATATGATTAAATACATTGGATATTAATTCTTATCACATTTTTTTAAACCGGCATGAACTGGCACAAACTGATTATACCACCGGTCGTACTATTCCACTTACTAAACCGGCACAACGGTATAAACCGGTTTGACAACCTTGGTTAGGACTATCATGGTGGCTACTTTCGAATAAAATTGTTCACGTTTGATGTTTTCCCATTCAATAGAGTGAACAGAGAGGGTGGTAGCTAGGGTGGTGCTTGATACACAAGCGACAAAAAAAAACCAACATCCAAACGACAATAAGCATATTTTCTGATCGAAAAAATACAACATGAAAGAACAAAATATAGCAGAAAATAAACTCGGTGGGAGGCAGTCAAGGCCACACCGTAAAAACAAATGCATCCAAACACCCTCACGCAACCACCATACCGTCGAGGAAGCAGCAAAGCATGAGTCGGCTCATCCGATGCAACCATGACCATGGGTATTGAGCAAAGCAAACAACCATAACCCGCCTCCCGCAGGCCCGGCCCAGGCCCTGTGCTGGTCAGACCCACAGCACAGGGCCTCAAGTTTTGGGGGCCCATTATCCATATGTTTTGGAGCCTGCTTGGGCTAGAGCGAAGCCCACATAATCCATAAGAGTCTGGAGGCCCCCTTGGGCTGACAAGGAGTAGGGGAATTGAGGCCCACTTGGGCTAGCGAAGCCCATGGAGGCCCTCTTGTGCTGGCAAGGCCTACACAAAAACTCCATGTACAAGGATGCAGGGACGGGAATTGAACCATTGACCTCCTTCTAATTAAAAGGAGATTCAACCACTAAACTACATTGGTTTGTTGAATTTTAAATAACAATTAGAGTTTTTAACGCCTCTATTCTTCTCTTTCCCCAAAATTTCTCAACTTCCCAAAATCATCCAAAGCTTAAATATGAATTGTTCACACCCAATTCTAATTAAGTTCTCATCCCTACTATCTAGACTCTTAATCAACTTGTTTTAAGTTCTAATATTTATCCTTTTCTTTTGCAAAGAACTTATATGAAAATTTGGAATAATTAATCTTTGGTTATAATTTATAATTATATCAATCCAAAAATTTGAAAAAGGTAGTTCTAAGCGTAGATAATATTTGATAATATATAATATTATTAATTTGTAATAATTTTTTGAAGATATGTAATTTTTATTATTATCTAATAATTTTTATCTTTAATAAATTTGTGAGAAAAAATTTGGGGCCACATTTAAATTTTCGAACAGGGCCTCCAAATATAACGGGACGGCCCTGGCCTCCCGGAAACTATTCGAAGATAACTCAGCACAATGAATCTGAATATGAATATGGGTTGAACATGGATAACAAACCCGGAGATAACAAACCCGCAGATAACAAGGAGAGGGAAACCCAAGAGTTGGAGGTAAGTTCACCCAAAAACCCAACAAGAAAATCAAAAGGGGGGAAAAAGTATAATACACCACTTGCAAGCCCAACCCACAACAGACCCCCAAAAACTAACGAGCAACACCCCAAGAAAACCACCAATGGAGGCCCACCCCGGAATATTGGTCATTGTCTCGTATTGAGCTCCTCGCCGCCCGCTCCAATCTGCTCCATCCCTCCCTCGCCGCAGCAGCCACTGTCCGTCGCGCTCCGCATTCGCCGTCGACGTTGCCAACGAATCTCCGTCGGTGAGTTCTATGTTCCTTCCTCCCTCCCTCTTCCATTCAGTTTCTTTGGTTGCCCTGTCTGTAAAATCTCTGCTTAAGTAAATTTTACCTCAATTTGCGGCGATGATTGGACTGGGAAAGAGCTTGATAAACATAAGAGTCGACATAATAACTTCTCCTAGCGAGTAATCTTATAGCTTTGATTCACATTATTTGGTTAACCCTAGATCACTCATCTGCAAGAGCTAACAGTTCTAGTGCTGTGGACAACTTCAGAGATATTAACCTTCGACTTACCTATCTATCTTGCTATATATGCACAAGCATATGGAATAATGTGCTATCTGTTAGTAGTGGTATAAGCTCAATTATTGAAGCTTTTCTACCGATTCTAGTTGTTTGAACCAATTGGTTTTTGATATAGTATCAGAGTTTGCTGTAATCGAGAGGTCTTGTTCGAGTTCTATTGACCTGCTATTGGTAGATATTTTACAAACTTCAATCCTATATAAGTGGTTTTCGTTTGAGATGATGTGTTAGTATAGTATGAGTTACATTATTGAACCTCTCTGAGCAAGTCAAGTTATCGATCGAGACCAACTGATTTGTAACACAGTGTTTAGGAAGCAGGTGAGTATGGCAGAAGCAGCAGCAGTTGAAATCGACAGGCTGACTGGCTGAGCGATCTCCCGGACAACATCCTGCATCACGTTCTGTCCTTCCTCGACACTGTAACGATTGTTAAAACCAGCATTCTGTCTAGGAGGTGGATATGCCTGTGGAAAGATGTCTCCATTCTCTCCTTCCAGAGGAAGAGCTTCGTTTCGAATCTGGGTTTCGAAGAACACGTGACCCGGATTCTGGCTAACCGATCCCACCATGTCGCTGTTGGAGAAATTAGGCTGGACTACTATTTGAGCGGATTATCCTGGGAGGAACCAGACGCCAAAGTGTTTGATAGTGTCCTGCGATATGCTGCACCATCCCAGTCCCCTGCTGATCCCGGTGGCAGTATGAGTCGTCTTCATCATCTGTCGATCCGGAATCCACCTGTATTCGATTCCTCTTACAGATGTCTCACCGACGTAATCGCGTCCATCTGCACTCATCGCCATCATGAATCTCTCAGGACCCTCAATATGGACGGCGTGGATGTTGCATTAGTCCCCATGACTGCTGCTTCAGGATTTCAGATGCTGACGACTCTGCAACTGCGTAGCTGCGAATTTCATGATCCTGATCCTTTTGGTGGTTTCCCTTGTTTGAACCACTTGAAGCTCTTCAACTGCACATCGTCACCGAGTGGCTTCGTAGTGTTGGGACCTCACCTGGTGGACCAGGAAATCGACAGCCCATTCCTCTCAGATGGGTTGATTCGAGACCTTCCTGCCTTGGACCACGCAACCATCCACCTTCATTGGCATGAATACTTGCTTGTTGCACCGAGTTTCCGTTCGTATGTTTCGAGAGAAGGGTCTATTTGTGCACGCCTCAACTTGTTTGGTGATTTGCATAACGCTGAATCGCTCATCCTCTGCTTCGACAGCTCGACCGAGGTAAGTATGCGGATGATGAGTATGAAGTGTGTGCTTCTGATAATTAACTCGTGACAAGCCATGAATTTCGGGACATTAAAATGTGACATACCCTTCATATTATGCACTCGAGAATGCTTGCACGTTTGTAATAGTTTGATGATATCTCTGACCGCTGATTTTGTTTCCTCCTCAGATTACGGATCAGAACTCTCCTCTTACCGAATGGAAGTCCCCATTAATGGAGCGTGCAGCCTCTCCCTTTACCAGATTGAAGGCTTTGAGAATGCAGTTCAAAAAACCTTCACCAACGCTAAGCGTACCGGAAGAAGTGATTCGATACTTTTTCGGTGATTCTTTCGACCCACTTAACAAGTCCGCCATAATCGAAAATATGGACAACCTATTTATCCATTGATCATTTTGATCTTAGCTTTTCACCATACCTTTCATCTTCTTGATAAGTACAATATTGTGGAGTTTGCTCCATTTTTCTATCTCTTGATAATAATTTGGTACCCTTCTAACAAGGAAATAGAACTGTGCACACTGTCTTATTTGGGTTGGTTTTTCTTATTCTTCTGTTTGAGCCCAATTGAGTTGTTGGGCTAGAGCCCAAAAAAGAAAACATGAAACAAAGCCACCGACTTTGCATCCCCGGTGGTGGAGAGTATAAACCCTAGAAACCTTGAAGGAGAGTATAAAGCCTAGAAACCCTGAAGCCTCACTACGGTTTCTTGATTGTCAAGTAACAAAGAAATCTAAGATCAACAGACAACAATGTTCTTACAGTCCAGTTTGTGTCTTTTGTTCTGACCTCAACCAAGTGATTGGTTCTTGTGGGATCTTTCTGCTGCTTCCTAGGTTGATGTTTCTGGATATTTTATCGATCGTCTTTACTGTTTTAGGATAGGTAGACAGTGAGAGAATCGATTTAGGGACAATATCAAACTCTTTCGGGTTCGTAGTCTTTGATTGCTCTCAGGTTGTTTCTGTTGATGGAATTCTGAAAAGACCAGCCTAAACCTCTTCCTTTTTTCTCCCTTTTGATTCTCCCTGTCGCTTTTCCTTCCTCTCTTGATTTCATACAACCTTACTACTATTTCTCACCGCCATTGTGGGGTTATTATGAATGACCATTGATTGAAAGAATTTGAATTGTCATTCAATTAGTCAATTCAGGAATCAGAGGGTTATGCTGGGAGTTAGATTGTGACCATTGACATTAGAGTTCAATTTCACTTGGAGAGTAATGTTGAGAGCTTATGTAAAAGAGTTTCTCTCCTTGATTCCGACCTCGACCAAGTGATTAGTTCTTGTGTGGCCTTTCAGCTGCTACATATGTAGAAGTTTCTGGATGCGTTAAAATATGATTCAGGGTGTGTTTCTTGTTATGTGATAAAGAAAGATTTGGGGTATCAAAATATTTGCAGGATAACATGAACTGTGCAGAGGAATATGTGAAGTTTATGTGCAAGTGGCTGCTTGATAAGTGCAATGATGACTTGGTGGTCATGGCAAATCTTTGTGATCAAGGCTGTGCATTCAACGCCTAAGAAAGGTAGCATCTGGACCTTTTGCGCGAATTACGTATACCGAAGCCGTGAAGATCCTTCGGAAGGCTGACCAGATGTTTGATGACGAAGTACTACTATTTACGTTTGGTACAAGGACATCCATTAAAGTCACTGTCTTCAAATCATGTTTGAGTCTCGTGTAGAAGGTTTTGATTCCTAAAGCGTAGTTGTAAACAATAGCCGACTTCTTGAGCTTTAACACTGTCGAATACCTTAGTTGATGATCAGCAAAATTCGATCATCATTATCCGGAAGAAAGATAGTCCAAGACGACCTCCAACCGACCAATGGGAACTCTAACAAACAAAATTTAAGACAACCTTTAACCCACCCTCATATTTAGGTATTTGAAAACTTGGTGAAAATTGGTGTTCCAACTCATGAAAAAAATGGGGTTAAAAATGAAAATTTGAAAGGAAATGAGGAAGGGTTGACCAAATTTGAAGGAAATAGAGGGAGCTGGCCAGATTTGAGAGGGAGAAGAAAGGGATACACAAGTGAGAGGATGAGCGGTGCCCGTTCTAGAATTTAGTTTTCACCAATATCTTAGAGAAACTATTTCGAAAGTAAACAATGAATTGATTTCTAAATAGATTGTAAATTATATCACCAATATGTTTATATGTGCCACCTACAATATATATATATGTTACCTTGTGAACATATTATATATGTAAAGAATCATTAACTTTGCATGGTAACATTTGAGTTTCACAATTTATGGGACATGTAAATTTCACATTGTATGCATGTATCTTACCATTCTCTCACAATCTAAAGCATGTTATTCATTTTCAATTTAGTGACACACATAGACACTTATCTTTGGGGTCATTAACAAAATGGTCACTTATATTTTATTTTTAATAAATTAGTTTTGCACTAGCTAACATAATGATAATTTAAATAAATTAATAATTAAGTTTTGCACAGTTTCACATCCATTGAATCCTCATCAATATGTCCTATCACTCGTATAATATTTGAAATAAGGATCTAACCAAACCAAACCAGACTTAGAATATAATATTTTTCCATGTTTAGTTTGATTAAGGTTTTGAGTTGTAATCGTTGGGCCAAGTCATCAGAAAACACCAAATCCTAATTTGTATTAATCTCTCCAGCATTTTTAAAACGAGTAATTTTAAAATGCTTTAAACATTGATTCTTTAGTTTTTTGTATTTATGGTACAACTTCAAGTTGTGGTATCTATATTTTTTGTATATATTTCTTTATGGTATAAACTAAAGATGTACATTATGTTATGGTATAATTTGTAATTTGAAGTTGTATCATAACATAAAGGTCCAAATTCTCTTATGGTACAACTTCAATTTGTACTTTTAACGTTATGGTACAGCTTCAAGTTGTGGTACCTATATTTTTTTTGTATATATCTCTTTATAGTACAAACTAAAGATGTACATTATGTTATGGTATAATTTGTAATTTGAAGTTGTATTATAACATAAAGGTCCAAATTCTTTTCTGGTACAACTTCAATTTGTACCTTTAACGTTATGGTACAACTTAAAGTTATACTTTGAAACGCCAATGCTTTAAAATATAGTAAAATTGCTATTTTAACACTGCTACGATATACTTAGTAGTGAGTCCGAAGGGAGGAGAGTTGATGCTCTTAAATCTGACACGAAGTCGAGGAATTACAATATTTTCTTTGATTCATGCAATGTTTTTGCGTTTCTATTAAGGTTAATTTAGAATGTACAAGGGACGCTTCATTTATAACCGTCGAGATATATACCATCTCAGCAATCATGGGTTGTGTATAAAAAATACTCGAATAAATATATATGTGACTACTTCGGTGCACTCACAAAAATGAGTACGTTCAATGCATCCAACCCAAAAACTAGTCTTAAGGTGTCGGATTTTGAATTTTAATTTGTAGAATTAGTGTAATATGATGATATAACATACGATAACAACTAATTAGCGGACTACCCTAAGCCCTAGACCTCCAATTTTGTGTTCTATCCCTAAAGCTCAAATTATAAACCCCTAACCCAAACCCTAAATCTCTAAACTCTAAATCCTTCAAATTAGAGTAAATCTTCAATGGGTTTTGTGCAAATTCATGTGTGTTATTGTTCATCTCATCATAACTGATGATTGACATCATTTTGACATAAATCGCATGTTTAAAATGAAGGTTATGAAGCGAGTGCACTGAATGCACTCAAAAAAGTGAGTGCACCGAAGACGCCACCATATATATATATATGACAAAGGCTAGCGTACGCCCGGACATACGCTAGCTACCGTACGCCCGTTGAGTTTTGCTATTTAGACAATGAATTAACCGGAGTTTGGGGCATGATACTATACCATAACCCCTAATGGGTCGGATTATTTATTAAAAGATGCGGATCGGACAGGTCGACCCATATGAGTAAGTGACTCAATAGAAAAACATTAAAAATATTTATTATTTTCATTGAAACATAAAAAAACAAACTATAATATTATAAATGTAGTTAAATAATTTGAGAGGTTGGCGTTCTCTCATATTTACAACTTCATTAATCATTATAACTAAAATATAAGGTAATAAAAGTAAAATTCTAAATAATTTATGTAAAATTAGATGTAATTTAAGCAACAACAGGTCGAGAATGGAGCGGGTGATGGCTGGTCAGCTGAGAAGAGTACCCATGCCTACTCCCACCAAAAAAAGGTTAGGTCGAAATTGTCATCCCTAATTATTAGGAGTAGTAATCGGTAAACTGGTATTCGGTATACCGAATACCGTTGGTATCAGTATTCGGGCGTGATATTTTACATTCGGTAATACCGGATAAGAGTCGGTAGTTACCAACGGTATACCGGTATACCGTAATACCGATTATTAAAAAAAAGAGCAAAACGCGATGCACAGACTGAAGGGTTTTGGCGGATTGAATTTGTCAATTTGGGGCTCTGCCGCAACAACCCAACCCAGCAAAGCAACCCTAAAAAATTCTCAAACCAGACTCCCTCCCTCGCGTTTTCCTCTGAGCCGCAACCCTTCTCCGAGCAGCCGCCCCCAGCCCGTGTCGTCGCCTCCAGCAGCGCCCCTCGCCGCCGCCTCCAGCAGCCTCCTCTTCCCTTCTCGCCATCCCCGACCCGACGACCCTCGACCTCCCCGATTCAATTCGCCGTTCAACAACCCCCGCCGCCCCTGTCCTTTCTCCTCTGTCTGATTCAATCTGTCGCCCCCAGCAGCTAGCCTCGGCTTCCTCTTCCTCTTCTCTTCCCCGAAGCCCAAACTCGATCTCCCTCCCACCTCAGCCAGCAGCAGTCGCCGACGGGAAGAGCTACGCCGCATCTCCGTCATCCTCTTCTCTTCACCAGCAGCAGCAGCCGCCGACGGAGAGGTAGAAGAAGAAAGGAAGGATTTAGAAGACAAAAGAAGGGAAGAAGAAGAAGAACAGGGGAGGAGGCGAGTGTTCGCTGAGTTGGAGTGCAGAGATTCCGACGGAGATGACGATTCCGGCGGCGACAGTTCTTCTTCCCCATTTTTCTCGACGGTTTTCGGGATACTGGGTTCATACCGAATACCGATTACCCGGTATACCGGTATACCGACTGAAATTCGGTATCGGTATTCGGCAGCCACGACGCCAGCACCCGATATACCGGATACCGACTGATTACCAGCCCTACTAATTATATCTGAGTATTTGACCAATACACCCATCTGGCATATCCTCAATCCCCCTAATGAGGTGATACTTCTTGAACATGTAAATTGCAGGGGGTGCAAGTTGAGGGGTAAATTGCTGGGGGGTGCAAATTGCTGGGGTTGTAAGTGGAGGGGTAAATTGTTGTTTGGATGAAAAAGTAGGGGGGTGCAAATAGAGTGAAAAGTAAGTAATTATATTATTTTAAAGTAGATTTTAAAATACTATTTTATAATCTTAAAATCTTATCATAAAATAATAAAATAAATATTACTATATAATAATAAATATACTTTACTAAAAATAGTTACTATATAATAATGCTCAAATAATAATTAATTATAACAATTGTAATAATCATTGATCGAGCGATCTCAAAACTCGAAGCTCAACTCGTAACTGGTCATCCTATATAGGGTTTTCGTGTCTAGTTTAATCTTAAATTGTCAAACTTAGTCAAACACGTTCGAATTTGTAAGTTTTAACTATTTAGTCAAATAAACTGAGTTAACCAAACAATTTCTCTCTGTCTTTTCCACAAACACCTCGTATCTCTAATTTTCAATGCAAATTCGATTCAACCAAGCGATCTAGATTTGACTTGACGAACATTGATAAACTTGTTTCCAGAGTCAAATGGTCAACCCCGAATAATGTTTACATTAATGATATTTATAAAAAGAAGGAATTGATAATATTAATTATTATATAATTATATATAACACAATTAGAAAAATAAAATTCCATAATTCCCCCCTCCCCCTCTCTTCCTTCCTTCCCTTGCACCCCAATTCGGGGTAAGCCTAAACAGTAAATTTGCACTCTTGTTTTGCACCCCCCTACTGTTCCAAATTAACCAAACAGGGTGCAAATGTGTTGGAAACTGTGTTTACCCCTCACATTTGCACCCTCCTCCCATTTACCCCTCTTCCAAAACAGAGTGTAGGGGAAGGTAACTATATGATCTGTAACCTTGTCCACCATGACTAATATTTTACTTTCGACATTCATAGTATTGACTGTACCGACAAAGAAGAGTAGCATTACCTCCACTCCCCATTGCTCAAATGTCATACAGATAACTATCCACGGTCGATAGATCGAATCCAACCAAACCGAACCAAAATTGGCAGTAACCTAGTTCCATTAACTCAAATCCAGCAGATTACAAAGACTTGCCCGACCACCTTATCCTCGGAGCCTTTTTTCACAAACCGCACACAGTTGCCTAGCTGTACATATCATCCATCCTATAATGTGACCGTGTAATCACTTTCGAACAGCTCACCTGGCAAAGACAAAGTTGGAAAGTTGTCTCAATTTTCAAATGTCAAGTCCATTGGTAAACATGATCTCATTTTAAACCCCTCTGCCTACTACAACTGGCCCCAAGTTGTCCTGCAATTAGGGGACCTCACTCACAGAAACCATAGCCACATTCTCTGAACATGTTCATCACCATGTACCCTTTTCCACACTCCTTCAAAGAGCAACCTTTTACCCCATAACCCTGGAAAGAAAATGGTGCCTGAGGAGGGAAAAAGGAACCATCCCCTGCAATTGCATTGTCAAGTCTTGTTTGTTGGGTGGTTTGGAGACCTGTTTGTCCTCAAGATTGATGAGACTGAGGGGGTTCAGTTGCATAGTTTAGATTGGATTCAAGACAATTGGATTCATTGCATGTTAGAGTACGAGTGAACTGTTGGTGGTTTTTGTCCATATAGTAGCATGATTTGATTTGACCAGACAGGGAAGGTTTTGTTTCCCAGGAAGTAGATTGGGCATGTGTGGTTCTTTTGCAAATAGAGAATCATGGGATGGATGATTACTTACTTGGAGACAAAACTCTTTGGGATTGAGGGTCCAAGCAAGTACTACTACAAGCTATAGATATTGTTGAGATAGAGTGTTAAAATTTTCATTTTGTAAGTTAAGTGACGACCAAATTCAGAACACATATATTAGCTATTTGGTCTTGATGGGCTAATTATATGTGATCAATACATGGAGTCTATGATTATTCAAACTCGATATGGGTTCAATATGCGGAAACCCATTACTTGCTTACGTTGGGTTTTATGCAAGCCCATGATTACTAGTATATATATGTGCTTGAGGTTCAGGTCCCCAACACACCAAGACCAACACTTTCTCATCTTCTCCCCGTCTGGTTGGTGAGAGCACTCTCATAGAGGAACTGAGGCGACTTGGTTGAAGAAGACCCCAGAAACTCCCGGGTCGTGAACCAAGTTGCATAATCCGGTGATCGTCCAATAATTTCCACATCCAGCTCCAGACGATCAACATGAATTCGAAAATCTCCAGTTAACCGTTGATAATCTTACAAGACGAATTCCAGGGAATTGCATATGTAATGTTAATTCTTTCAATGGGATATTTTAACATGGATTGAATTAGAAGAGAGAGTTGATAGTTATATCTTTAATCACCTGATGAACTTTTCGAGACCGAGATCTTCGATGATGGTTTTGCTTCGTAGAGTGCAAAGTTCTAGCCCGTGAGTCAAATCCATATATCAAGGATTGTAACGAGTGGGGCTGAAAAGAAGCTCCAAGATTGTAAATATGTCCATGCATTTCCAGCTCCATGAAACTCTGGCAGGCCCATGATATCCAATCCTGGAACCAGTCAGAATCAAATTCCTATCCATTGTTCTTTCACAAGATCACAAATATATATCTTCTCTATAGGTTTCCTTTCTCTCAAAAGCCAGCTAGCCCAAGCCATGCCATGGCCATTCCTATGCTTTTAATGGCTACCCAGCAATCAAGCTCCATTAACTGCCAAAAGGACTGCCTCCTTTTTCATTCTCCCACTTTGGGAGCTAGCTAAAAGCCAGCTTGCTGGAGTAGCTTGATTGGGTGTATTTTGAAGGGTGATTTATGTAATTAAATAATTATATTTTCTCAGTTTAACGTATTCAAGTGTGTTTGATGGTATAAACTAATCTACAATATGACGAAATTTTACAATCCTATATATATGATTTTGCACAAGTGCATCATATGTTATGCTTAAAGCATACATTAATATTCATGATTATTAAGATTCCTAACACTTTTAATCTTTAAACAATTAGTATTGTATCACAAATCAATTTACAAATATATCGAACCAAATGCACCCAATTTCCAAATCCACATTTGCATCCAAAAGTTTGTGTCTTATGCTCAAGCAAGAAGGCCTATCAATTTAAATTTGGCACATGTTAATCATATTCATATGTTAATCTTAAAGACTTTAATATCGTATCAAAAATCTATCTACAAATATACCAAAACATAGACAACCCAAAATCCAAATTCTCATTTGTATTCAAAATTTATGTCTTATGTTGAAATTCCTCTTCACAATTGTCTTATGCTGAAACATAATTTAAGCAAAATCCTGTAGAGTTTCCACATCAAGACAAAAACTTACACTTCCCATCCTTCTCCACCCTTAAGAAAGTCCGGCAACAACCTTTGCCCCCATGTCTCTCCCATCCCCCATGCTCAGAAACTCTGTACTCTTGTCCCAACTGATGGATACTCAATCCATAAAGCCTATATAAACCCCTCTCCGACAAAGCGAAGAACATCCAACACATCCTAAGTTCAATCCGACGCAATTCTCCTCTCCAAACCATGAAAGAAAGTAAGATGATGAAGAGCAAGGCCACAGGGAGGAAGAAAGCCAAGGAGATTGAGGTCGTTTCGATCCGTCGAAACATCCGAACTCTGCAGCAGATGATTCCAGGATGTGAGGAAGAGATTGAGGTTGAAACCCTGTTTCAGAAATCCATTGATCACATCCTGAAGCTGAAGTCTCGAGCTCAGCTCCTCAGGGATCTGTTGGAGCTCTGCGATAAGTAAGGCTTCCATTGGGGTGCATTTGCTAATTAAGCAAGGGGTTCTCGTGGATCTTTCTAAGAAAGATGGTAGCTTCTTCCATGGTAATTTGGAGAAAACATGTCCTGTAATTCTGAGTTTCTGCTTCTTCAATTGATGAAGCTTTTCAATAAGTTCAAAGCTCACTCTTGAAAGGGTTCTTTGGTCGAATTTGAACAAAGTTTGTACCTATTTCAATAATTCAAATGATTTGGGGTAAACTAGTTCTTGATAACATCGTTTGTCATTGTATTTAGTCGTAAATCGATCACTTTTATCATGGATTATAAGAAAATATATTTTTCCCGTTAGTAGATAAGAAAAGAATAATTGTTTTGGAAAATATAGGTGACGAGATATGAAACTTTTATTACAACGTAAACTTTAGACAAGATATATATGAATTATAGTTTACAAAACCTCAAGAGGCACATAGACAAAAGAGGAAGAAAGAGAGCAAATTTTCACAAATCCAACTAGATTGACTCTCAATTTTTGTAGAATTGGAGCTCATATTTGTTATAGGAATTAGAAGACAGAGCTAGCATATGGTTAATGGCCGTAGCCCATGTCTTGTAACGATCATAATCATCTCCCATGTCCAACTTAATCGTGCCTTCATTTGTCGACAATACGATGATGTAACAAGTGTCAGTCTCTTGTGCACCTTGAGCCGGATCTCTGTATAATTCGGCATGAATATCCAGCACAATGCCTGAAACCAAAAAAAGAGGTTGAGATTTCTTGCATGTTATCCTCAACAGCTTAGCAGAAGTGAAAAAGAGGGACAGTGAATGGAAATGTGAAAGGTAAAAAGAGACTTACTTTCTTTTTTGGTTCTAAAGAGATTCAACTTTCTCATTCTTAGGACAACCTTGGATTGGTTGTCAAGGATGATTGAAATCCATCTCACCCTGAAATCCCCTGTTGAAACAAACAACAACAAATTGAATCAGTATGAATGGTAATAAAGATTAGGAAAACATGTGTGGAAACATGGGGAATAAGTTACCATCTGGTGTTTCCACATGAAGCTCTGAGCCAGAGGCAAGCATAGATCTGTACTTGTTGAAGTCAAGATCAAGATTATCATCGTGATGATCATGATCATGGCTGTCTTCAATTGGAAGCACAGGAGCACTGCCATTGAATCTGTTCTTGCATTCTGTTCTAGCTTTTAGTGTAGCTGCACCTTTCAGTGCTACAGTTTTTCAACCAAATAAAAGTTCAGATTATGACAAAATCAAACAGTCACATCCCTAGCAAATGAAAGAGAGCAACATTTACATGTAGTGGCAGCAGCTGTAAGTGTGAGGATGTCACTTGCACCAGTACCACTCATGGCTGATCCAAGAGCACTGCTGAGATCATCCTTCTTGGCTCCCATGGCTTCTGCGAATTTCGCGCATTGTGCAGCCACCAAGGCTGCAGCGTTAGCCAATGCTTCTTCCTCCATTTGATCTGTCTTCTCGTTCGTAGAACTCCTTGATTTGCCAGCAGCAATTGCAGCCAGAGCAGCTGCCAGCCCTGCCACTGATATGGCTGCATGAACCTCAGCTCTCTGCAGCCTGTCCTCTTCCTTCCTCTTCAATTTCATCTCCTTAAACCATTTCTTGATTGATATCTTGAACAATGGACCAACCTTCCATGTCACCTGGAAATTTCATGAATTGGGTTTTGAGAAAAGTTTGATAAAGTTCAATTCTTTTTGCATAATTCTCACATATAAAGGTTTGACATTGCCTACCCATTTCTTCCTGTTGTAGTTTAGTTCAGGGTGCATTGCTTGTTGCATCCATATCCATGACTGTGATTTGATCAATAAGACCCCAAGACAAGGAATGATTAAACTTTGGTCTAATCAAATTTGAAGTATACTTTTTTTTTTTATAAGGGAAATTTGAAGTATACTTACCTTCATATCATTGGACTTCCATGGTGGCAGGGACTTGGGCTCTGGATCATCCATCTTGTCCATGTTCTGACAAATCAAAGGGGAAATTGATCATAAGTAATTTTCCTTTCCTGTGCAAGAAGAGGTTTTATTACAAAGAACTTACCAAGAAGGCAGGAGCTAGCACATCGCGATCGAATTTAACAAGAGGTTTGTCCATGGCGAAGATGGAGGAGGTTTCGTTGTTGTCTCGTGAAAGCTCGGCTGGTTGGAGAGTTTGGACCGCGAAATCGCACCATGCCCTCGATAGGAAATCCATTGTTTCAGGATGTGCCTCAGAGGGAACTATTGCTGTAGTTGTAGTTGTTGGCATATTGGGAAAGCTTGGGGACAAACTCAAATTCTGTAGAGTGGCTTTCAACTAAACAGGCACAATGTTGAATGAGATGTGTCTTAGAGTGATCACCCAAGTCTTCAAGATATAAATAAAGACCCTTTGGAGTTAATCACCATCAATCATCATAATTTGGGTTGCAAGCATATTAGAGGGGGACCACCCAAAAGCCATCTAAGCAAACAGCGAACCAATGAGGCGGTGCCATGTGTCGCGAACTCAAATCATGAGCATTGGTGGGAAATGGGAATATTGATCCATGTTCCAATTAGGCTTTCTTTTGGGATGATTATCTCTATATGAATTAAAATGTGATATATGAATGGCCTTGAATGAAATGAGACCCATGTTTGGGGAGAAAAGAAGTAAAGGGTTTGGACAGATGAGATAGAGAACAGCTTGGAAAGGGGAGAATGTGGAGGAAGGAAGAGGATATGTACATATGGATTTTTTAGGGACCTACTTGGGAATGGGAGTGTAAATAGAGGAGCAGATTTTGATTTTTTTCAGAGACAATTTTCTTAGGGGATTGCTATTCGTCGCCCTAAAAATTCTTATTCGCCGCCCTAATTATGTTAAATTTACTCTAATGTCCTTGATGCGTTTCTTGTCACTTTTATGGTAGAAATTTCTGGTTCGTTGTCACTTCTAAGTTCTAAGCAACTGTACAACAAAGTATCTTGAGGAGATTGTAGAGACCATCCCCGAGGATTAAAGCAAATGAAATTAAAACCTGAACAAAAAAGTCGTCATCATCATGAGGAGTTTATGAATGACAGCAAGGAAAGTGGCAGCATGTAATATGTTTAAATTGCAGACCTTGTAACCATTGCGGCTTGTTTTACTGCTTTCTGGTAGTGTTGAAGGAATAGTTTCCTTCAAGTCCATCGATCGTCGTCACTTCCAAGCTTCTGGACGTTATCAATCTCACCTTTCGCAGTCGTTTCTCACACAAAAACAACGAGAGAAAGAAATTGCAGCTTTCCCACGCAAAAACGATGAGCAAATTTGGTGGGTTCTGGTGGCCACAGCAGCAGCATTGCTGATATCTTTATTAATCGCCTTCTCCAAACCATACGCTCCTCGAAGAAAATAGATGAATCAGTGGATTGGAGAATCGACGTTTTTACCCGCTTGGACCCTCTTCCTCCTTCCTCAGCAACAGCAACAGCAACAGGCCGGCGAATTGGGAGATTCGGAGCGGGTGACCAGCGCTAGACCTCTTCCTCTTCCTCATGCTTCTTCTTTCTCCTTCATCGGCAACTGCAGCAGGTGGGCAAATTGGGGGAATTGCAGCGAGTCGACTGGCTAGGAGAATGGCCATAGCGACCGAATCCGACCGCTGGATTCTTTCTCCTTCTTTGCAATGGCAGCAGGTCGGCGGCTGGGGGGGAAAACAACGATGGTGGCTTGGGAATGGGAGATGCGGCAGGTTGGATGAACAGCAGGGGTCGGCTGGAATTTGGCCGGCGGGGAAGTTAGGGGTTAGGGATTAAAACTAGGGGTATTAACGTCAACGTAGGGTGGTTTAGGGCGAAAATTTTAAAATTGTAGGGCGACGAATAGCAATTCAGTTTTCTTAGCACAAAAAATTTTGTTGGGAGGGAATAATGATATATGCTAATGCGTGCATACTCACACATGCTGGCCACTGTGGGAGCAAAGGTTACTATGCATAATAAAACCTTCTTATGAAAGAAGAAAAAGAAAAGAGAAGATAATGCACAAAAGTTAGATTGAGTTTTTGATCTCCTTGGTTTCCAGCAATAAGGAGATTGTTCTAGGGTGTGTTAATGCTAAATACCAGTTGGTTTCATTGGGTTTGCTTCTTATATTGGTTTTCTTTTTCTGGTTATTTTCTATATCATATATGGTTAAATTATGTCCGCTAGTTTAGTCATTGTTCCCAATTAGTTTCCCCCCAAAATTATAGTTTGAAGGGAAGTCTATTAAACCGAAGTTCAGACAATATTATAGATCGTTTTGAGTTCTCTTTCTTCAATAAGGAAACAATACAAAGACTTAAATAATGTTGTCTCATTTATTGCTCTTCTTTGTTTACACGAAAAATAGATTTCGATACATAATCAAGATTCAACTCATCTTGATAAATTGGGTTGTCAAATACATGGTAAAATATCTTAATACCGTACTCTTATAAAAAGATTAACCAACAAATATCTTAACTCGAATTGAAAGGACTTGAAATGAACATTGAGGACAAGGGTGTTAAAGAAAGCTTATTGAACAAAAGGATAGGGTGTGCCATTGAAAGAGAGCTGTCTAGGGGGCCAAACTATAAGAAGAGAAAAGTTGGCAAAATGGTTGGAGGAAGGAAGGCCATAATGGCCAAGCATGCTACTTGAGAGATGGCAATTCCTTTTTCTTCCTTTTGTGAAATGAAAGTGGACAAAGAATGATTGATGCTATAACTTACTATGGCAAAGAAGAGAAACAGAGGAGATATAAAACAAGTGTTCTTGTTGTATGTTGTTATGTGGGGGTGATGATAAAGGAGGTCTTTAAAGATTAAACCATAGGGATTGATGAGATACTTTAACTTTTTACTTATGTATTTTTTATGATGTTTATGTTTGACATTATGTTATACTACGTGAATATCTGATAAATTTATAAAAGCATAAAATTCAGACTTATTAGTATATCAGTCGCTATTAGATTTTTTCATTAATTGATAAGTTATGAAAATTGAAACGAATACACCGTGGTTCTCTTTTATTATGATCTAGTTATAGTTGATTTGCTTTTGCTATGGGACTTATGATTAGTGATTTAGCTCTTTACAAAAGATGTTAGGGAAGCTTGTCCTCCTCCTCCTCCCTTTATGTTTTGTTCTTCTTTTTGGTGGTGATTATATTGTAGTTTACGAGCGTGCTCAATACAATCATGTGAGGGACAAGACATAACAATTAAGAAAACCACAAAACATGTTTTTGATTAGATTCTATATTGCATTTGTCATTAATTAAAACTCTTGTTATAGAAAAAGATAGAAGAGAAAGTACACAAAATTTTGATTGAAAATGGAAAAGGCGCTTTGTTACCTTTTAATCCAGGGGCTAGGATCAATGCATGGAGTATTGGAGTATTCTGTCCTCAATTGTTGGCAAAGAATTATATAATTGATGGTAACTTGGTTGGCTTTGCAGAAAAGTTGTAGTTTGTTTAGTTTTGGTAGCTACTTTTTCTTATTTCCCCTATATGTCTTTTTATTTTTATTTTATTTTTTTATGTCTATTTCATTGGGTACGGCACGATTGAATGTGGAGTTAAAATAACTAGATATAAATTGGTGGATGAATAAAAAGAAAATTAGTAACAAGTAAAGGATGTTTTTGGTTTGGTTCAGCTCGATCAGCTTCTAAAGGAGGTCGTGTGGCTAGAGCAACATATTTTTAACTCCGAGCAACCAATTATATCTAATCACTAACTATGATCCTAGGGATGGCAATGGGTCGGGTCGGGCGCGGATAGTGCATATCCGTTACCCTATCCATAGTAGTTCGGGTTTTTATCCATACCCATACCCACATGTGAAATGGGTAGAAAATCAAAACCATGCCCATACCTGTTCGGGTTTCGGGTATCCACGATTATCCAATGGGTAATAATTTCTCTTCATAACTTCAACCAATATGTTAACATTCATACGTATTCTCACATTACGTAAGAGGAAAAGTACGACAATAATTCACTAGAATGAAGAAAATTAATTAAAACTACACAATTTCATGAAAATATTATATTTATATGCTAAATATAAAATATGTTAGAGAAAAATATTGATTATTTCTAGACAAAATACATATGCATGTGTATAATCGGGCGGGTTCGGGTTGGATAGTGAGAAACCCATGCCCATCAATTACCCGCAATATTCGGGTTCGGATTTTACCCGTACCCACTAAATGTCCTTCGGGTTTTACCCTACCCGATTAGCCCGGATTCGGGCGGATATCCGAGCAACTAATTATATCTAATCACTAACTATGATCCTATGCCCTAACAACATTTTGATATCATTTTAGCATGGACAAAATTTACGACTACCCTTTAGAGGAAGAATTGATGGACCGATTCAATTTTCTCATATGTCCCGGGATCAATGTTTCTGTTCATTTTGGGTTAGACCACATTGGGTCGATTGTCATGACTTAGAAGAGTTCACGCGCTGGGATTTTGGGCCGTTCAAGCCCAATCTTTGTATACTGTTTTTGTGCCGTAACTAAACTAGGATTGGTACCCGGCCCACCAATACCACCCCATCGAGCTTCAGAAAAGAAAAGGGCCCAAATTTTGTGTCACAACAAGAAAAGGACAAAAGAGAGAATATACGAAGAAGAACATCTAACAAGATCAACCAAAAATTCCTACATCTATATGTTTTGGGTGCTGAATTTTTGTGGCTCTATATGTTTTGTCTTGTCTCAAATTCTTTCCTTGCACACACCATTCCTTGCTAGCTAGTTTCACGCTATGCATATAACTTTCCATTTCCTAGTCGAGGAAGCCTAGCTAGCTAGCTAGCTAACATTGGGGAACATGTATTAATTTGGAGTTTGGCTACAAGCTTCCATAAAAAAAAGGGAGTTTGGCGAGTTTAGAAACTCTACTCGACCCGCCAAAAGCCCGTTCACTCCAATATAAGCACAAGTCTTACAATCGCTCAACCTAGAAAATTAATGAATGAATTACAAAATGTTGCTCGAAAGATCACGCGCTGAATCCTAGAAACCACTGCACAATTGTATGATGAAGCTGTTTGGATTCCAATTTCAGTTAAACTTCCATTTGAGCAAAAGATTCCTCGCCAACCCGAGTTTTTTTGGGAAACAAATTCTCTAAAAACCACCCTTCATCCACAATGATGATCAAAGGTACAACCATCTAATCCGATTCAAGAAACGATCATCAGAACGGACATCAAATAATTAATTTGAAGTAGTAGTACCCTACATAAATTGGCCGGGTGGGTTCATGCTATAGCTAGGTAGCTCATGTATACGTTTATATACATAAGGAATCGACAAGACACATTCAATTTTTTCATTGGAATGGCACATGAGAAGGGATTATGTCATTACGTGCAATTTAACATGGATACATTGATAATCCCCACTTTGTTATTTCTTCACGTACCTCTCCATCTCTTGTCACCATCACACGATATGAATTCATGTAACCATGTTAGGAAATAGGAGAAGCCCTCTCTCTCTCTCTCTTTCTGATCACATAAACATATTTTGGTGACGGTTTTTTGCCCCCTTTGGCCCTTTCACCGGTTTCTGTTATAGAGAAAGCATTAGAAACCAATAAACAAACCTTTCATTGTTCTATCTTATGTCACGACCACTACCACCATAATGCATATACCACCATGCATTTTCGACCTTCCATTATGTGCTTCAATAATGTTATAATGCCTAGCTATAAGAGCTATTGGTCCAAATGGGTAATTGGATTTTGAAATCCTCCTAACGTTTTGTTTTCCATGATTTCACTACACATGGTACACAAATACATCAACCCCTTAGCCAAGTTAATAATGTGCATGTGTCATCCAACTATCCCCGGTTAATTACTAATGGAGATTTTGAGATATCCTACTCGCTAAAAGTTTGAATTTTGGAGGTTACTTATTACTTAAGACTTGTATGTAATAATTTTCTTAAACATGTACAAAACATAGTACGTACTTAGTGTTCAGACTGCCGATCGATCTCTCTGAAGCGATATTATATAGGCAGAAAAGATCAACACGCAAAGACACATACTTTAACATGATGCTGTGTTAGATCACAGGGGCCGTATACTTCAGAGGAATCATATATAGTCAATCTTACTAAACAAACCATGACATAACTAACCTCATATACAACATGACCTAATAACCCTAATGTTGAATATTCAATAGACCTTTGACGATTAAAGAGGTAGGAAGAATGTGATCCAACCAAATCTTGGGGTATCACCATCCATAACATTTACTTAGATAGATGACCACGAGAATTCAAATTCAAAATCTACGCAACAGACGGCTCTATTAGCAAATACTTCCTTGAGACATATATAAATCAAAATTCATAATATATATTTATATAGGTGACTACTTTGATGCACTCATAAAAATGAGTGCGTTCAATGCACCCAACTCAAAAACTAGTCTTAAGGTGTCGGATTTTGAATTTTAATTTGTAGAATTAGTGTAATATGATGATAACATAGGATAACAACTAATTAGCGGATTACCCTAAGCCCTAGACCTCCAATTTTGAGTTCTATCCCTAAACCCCAAATTGTAAACCCTAACCCTAACCCTAAATCTCCAAACTCTAAATCCTTCAAATTAAAGTAAATCTTCAATGGTTTTTGTGCAAATTCATGTGCGTTATTGTTCATCACATCATAAGTGATGATTGACATCATTTTGACATGAATCTCATGTTTAAAATGACGGTTATGAAGTGAGTGCACTGAATGCACCCAAAAAAGTGGGTGCACCGAAGACGCCACCATATATATATATATATATATATATGCTTCATATGTAGACTGTACATGCCCTTAATTTTAAGGTATATATAGCTCCAGCCTCTTCTTCCATTCCATTTCTCATATGATCTTTCTTCCCCAAAACGATAACTATAGCTACATATATATATTACATATTCTATAATGATAAACAATAACAATAACATATATAATTATATATCATCAAACAACCCACTAAGAGAATTAATAACTTAATGAGTTCCCTCTTTCATTACACAATATTACACATCGCGACACAATCGCTAGCTCTAGCCAGCCTCCGCATGACGTCGACCTGAGCCCGGAGTGACATCACGTAGTCTAGGGTTTCCCTTATCAACGACGCCTCGTCGTCCATCAACTCCCCGCCGGGGACCAGCTTCCTCAGCACCGCCGTCTTCCTCCTCACCACGGCGGCGGCGGCGGACCTATTGTGGCAGCACCTCCGGCTCCGCTTTATGATCTTCTTGCACCGGACCCTCTTCTTGTAGTGACGTGGCGGCGGCGGCGGCATGTGGCGGGGTTTGGTGGTGACGTGGAAGGAGGAGGAGTGTTTGGCGATGAGGGCCCGGCTCCAGCACGTGGCGCCGTTTCTGACGGAGGCCATGGCGATTTCGGCGGAGAGCTTGATCGTGTTCTTTCTCTTTACGACGTCGTTTTTGTTAATGTTGTTGTTGTGGTTGCATAGTTGGAGTGCGAGTAGCCATTTCTTGAGGAACTCGCGCTTGAATGATGATGAGTTGGGAGGAGGACGCATCCTTTTTGAATTAAGGGAATGCAATTCTCTATCCAACACACAAGAAAAAAAAAAGAGATAATTATTAGCAAAATTAGCTATAGATATGATAAGGTGGAACTTTTTTTCCCATCAACCCACTAACACGAAAACAAAATCCGAACAGTCGATTCATTTTCGAACTTTAGAGCAAATATTGCCCGTATAACTACCACAAGAAACAATGCATTGAAACTGAAAAGAAAGTTTGGTTATTTTCTCTAACGATAGAGCGTTCGAAGGAAGAAGTTAACCATTCAAAAGCGAAGAAATTAACCGGTATTTAAAGCAGTTTTTGAGTTATCAAAACGAGTACAACCAAAATCTTGAAAATGACATTATTTTATTTTGTTTTGTCAGAAACGACCATTAATGAACCGGATTAAAGAGAGAGAGAGAGATGTGTATCATCAATCTTTGTTGATTCAAGACTTCATACTACATACATGGAAGAAAGGAAGACATAGAAGGAAAAAGAGAGCAACACATGAACGATGCTATTATCTAAGCTAAGCTATATAGGGTTTGGTAAGCGCATTTCACAATATGGATGATGAGAAGCTAACTATATATCAAGATATATATACTCAAGTAAAATTGAAATGTAAACAAACTAGCTAGTCTCACCTTGATGTATCCTTTGGAGAAACTGATGAGTAAGAGGAAAGTGAACTAGTGGTAAGAAATCATATGACCAAAGCTAGAGAGATATATTGAATTCTCTCCTCCTTCTCCTTCTTGTTTAATACAGGTAGAACTGAGAGTTCTTATTCTTCTTCTGAGGATCAGAAATGTAGAGAGAGAGAGAGAGAGAGAGAGAGGGAAGGAGAGAGAGAGGGGAGAATGTGGGAGGAAAGGAAGGAAGTAAAGGAAAAGGGAGCGTGGGATTTATTTGGAGAGGAAGGAAAGGAAAGAGAGGGGGCCTGGCTGTGGCTGTGGTGGTGGGGAGCCACCGTGGTGAAGAAGAGGAAGAAGAAAGAAAGACAGCGCACATGCATGCACATGGGATAACATGTCCCACCACCACCGTTACCATATTCCTCATACTCCCATTACACCCAATTTTACCACGGCATACCAATTTTAAACCACACCGGCCGGCCGCCGGCGCCGGCCCACCCTACATCGGCCGGCCCAATGAAATCAAGCCACTTGGGAGGGAGCGAACTTGAGGGTATAATGGTATAAGATTCATAACTCAACATCTCCCACCAGTTACTGGAACCAATTGGTTTATGATAAAGAGCACGATCGAGAGGTTTTGTGTTTGAATCTCCCACGAACCCCTTTTTTTTAAAAATAATGGCGATGATTCATTAAACGGAAAGGACACAAACAAACCGACATGATCACAAGGCTTTGATCCAAAGAACATGTACTCGGTGGACCGGACCAGCTCTGCACGGTGAACATACACTACTCTCCTACAAGCAATCAGCTCACACAGTCAAAACCTACACAACAATGACACAAAATCTAAACCGAACCACTTAGGAACAATGAATGCGAATTTCCCCACGAACCCAGTTTGTCAAGTCCTTATTAAAGATTCTTCGTGAACAAGGATTTGGTCTATCAATAATACCACTAATTGTGAACCAAAAATAGATTTCCAAATTCGAATCACTTGAAGAGTAACTAATAAACGTGGAATGGATCAACATCGATAATCTACTTGACCGGCCAACGAGAGGCAAGAAAATTTGGCATGTGAGCTTTTGGCTATGTTCCGCGGACTTGGACGGTTGGCATATGGGCTGGAGTTGGAGTCTTAGTTAGGACCCCACCAACAGTTGGTCTATCTACTAACGCCCACAATTAACCACAGAATTAAGAGAGCCACAATTATAGCAATTAGCACTAATTATATCACCCCTGGCATGCCACTATGCATTCATTAGGCCGCCAAAAAGTTGTGAGCCTCTCAATGCATGTGCCACATTATGCCCTCCTAGGCCCAATTCTTCAAATTTTTTTGTTTTGTCAGCGCGCGGTAGAGCTACGCGTAGTACTGAAAGGGTTACAATTTTTTTCTTCGTCCTTCTCGATATTCGAATTATAACTAGTGAATGTATTCATATGTTAAGAAAGGATTGCTGAAAAATGGTAGGATATATCATGAAATATTTAAAATATGAAAATTTTCATGTGAGAGCTTAGTTAGTAATTCAATCCTTAACCATTTGAGTTACAACGTTACTCGCTCGATCGAATTTGCCCATATTGATTCCATTAATAAAATCAATGAACACTCCATGTAGGGAGACATATGTATTGTCCCGGATTTGGTGCCGCTGCCGGCACCTAATAACGGTACCCCATAGTTAATTAGACTAACAATTAATTAACTAATTATTAAGAACAAATAAATGAACAGAAAATTAGCATTGCCAACTAATTATCACATGCACATCATAATCAAAAAATTTCATTCTTCTTTACTTCCATCTTACTACTACTAGTCTCTAATCACGGGGGATCAGGATGTGATTACTATCCTTTAACATGTCTGGAGAATATTAGACATCCCAACCTTGGTGTCTTCCCTCCAACATATAACTAACTCCATTATAAATATTTAATAAACATGGAAAAAGAAGCATACTAGTCAAACTTTGATTGGATTATGGCTATATAGAATATGATTTAATCAAGGTTGATAATGTCTATCTTTATGTATTTAATCAATCTGCGGGTTGGGGCAGTAGGCACCGGTTCGGTTCGTCTTACCAGAAACAGATTGAGTTGGATCAAATATATATGATTCAATTTGGTTTCGATTCCATTCATGAATGCTCCTTAAACATAAGAGAAAGCAAATTTAACCGATATTTTGATTTAACGACTAAATTAGATCAAATGTAATACTTTTGTTTTTTTTTTATCTTTGAGTTTTTTTTTTGTTTGGTTCATTCTCGATTTGAATCGATTTTGGATTGGATTAAAACAACCCACCCCTATCCGTAGGAACATATTATTTTTATAGGAATAAAATGAAAAAAGCATATGCAGTCCGTTTTGATGGGTTTACGACATATAATAATAATTATTATTATAAAGACTAATACTGTCTAAATACACTCATCTCTATGTATGTAATCCGTAGGGATAAGTTGATGATGGGATGTGATCACGCCAAAAGGTGTATTATTGGATGATTAATGATATTGCTTAATGCATCATTAATACCTTTCTTTGTGGGAAACAACATGTCTCACAAAGAATTAATATGTTTAAGCTCTAGCTCTATTTGTTTCTTTTTAGTGATTAGCTCTAGTTAATCTGTGTATTTTTATTTTGCTTGATGTGCAAGTGATATAATGGAAGGAAAACCACTAGTAATAGATTTGTATAAATTTTCCTTCTCGTTCATTTTTTCAGTATAATTATTACCAATTAAAGAGGCAAGCTAGGAAGGATTAAGCCATGGAAAATGTATAATAGAATTATTAACTAAATCAAGGGTTTGCCCATAAAGTGAGAATTAAGGGCTAAAATATGGAAGAATCGATCGGGCAGGTGTCCTGTCTAACTAAAGTACATAAGAAGACCGACTAGATGAATGGTTGGAGGGTCAACCCCCCGCGATTCCCGGCTGTCCCTTCAATCGGAAGACCTAATGAGAAAAAAAGAGTATCATGAATGGACTTAGTCCGCTCAAGGCTTGAATTTAGAGCGTGGTGTATGTTATTATTTTTCGTATTATTATTAGGCCAATTCGTTGAGATTATTATTGATCGTTTTTTTTTTTGTATTAATTACTCATTTGGTCTCTAATAGATTTGTATAGTATGATAGAGTTAGAAGTGTTTCCAATCCTGCAGTAGTTCAATCCTTCCTTCGCTTCTTAGTTCAACATTCAACGGAATCTAATCAAACGAAGTTACATAAAATTGACGAGAATAAAAATTCGAATCAAATTATACATTAATTCGTACGTATACTTTGGTTCATACGATGACCCGAACCACATACTTAAGATCCGCGATACTCCTAAATTTCAAAGTGCGACCCTGATGAGAGTACAACCAAGTACTTTTCTCTCGAATCACGTTGAACAGTTGATTGGACATTATAAATCATTCTAAAATTTTGAGGCGACGAGATATTTCCTCGCATTTTTATATATTCAAAGCTATCGATCCTGCCCCCTTCACAACAAATCAATGTAGAACTCTCAATAGCGTCTCATTGGTTCATCGATCCTTCGACCGACTATCTATCAACCTAGGTACATTAGCTAGTCACATACAAACAGTTCTTTTTTTATAGCTTACTCAACCGTTGAAGGCACAAATACTGCCATTTCATGCTATGTTATGATTGTTAATTTCTAATTAGCCACCAATTAGCTGGAATAGCTCAGTTGGCTAGAGCGTGTGGCTGTTAACCACAAGGTCGGAGGTTCAAGCCCTCCTTCTAGCGCAATTTTCTTCCTTCTTTTTTTTACCCCCAAACCCAAATCCCAACAAGATCGATAAACAGTAAACACATGGGCAAATGTTACTATAGTAAGTAGTAACGTGAATGAAGGGAGGGAATTAGGGCAGAGAGCTTTCGTAGATATCGTGCACGCACGCCCACAACAGGCAACACTCGCATGTGCATACACATGAGAGGGGGCAAAAACTCCAACCCCTCCTTCTTACGTTATATTCAAATCATATGATATAATTAAGCACATGTACATATTTGGACACATACACATGATATCTGGACTCACTCTCTCCTTTAATACTTCCCCTTTCTCTAGGGCTAGGCTATCGGCCGGCCAGCTGGTCTTTTCTCAAATCATGTACTCAAACAAACAATCCTCCACCACGTGTGAAGTCCGAGCCGGTGATGGTGACGTGGTAGTGATAACGCGTTCGTGGTGTCGTGGTAGTTAGGTACGTACTGCTTGCTTGTAGCAGATGTAGGTTCGAATTTGAGTTCATTAGTCCACAAATTATAGACATCACGGTCGATGAAGCCCCCCCCCCCCCCCCCCCCCCCCCCCACACACACACACACATGAATCATTCGTATGTTTGAGTTGACGAGAGATTACAGATATGTTCCCTTCTTTTTATGCTAACATGAATTGTTCCAGTCGTGTATCATACATATTGCGTGATGCAAAATTGGGTTTCGATCAATATGACCTACACCCTTTTCCGTAGAGACAGATAGTAACCTAACCGTTAAAGAGTTTATTCAATGATCACGCAAAGTTTCAATAATAAGGCCTAAACCCCTATCATGGCCAAAACGTAATTCCTTTGCTTCTTCCTCTTATTTTTACGTTTTTTGGAAGGTTCGTTGGATCAAATCAACAAACTTTACAGCTTCGACTCCACGAGGAGATGTGCTGGAAATGGAATATGATATTCATATATAGAATTCCTTTCTCTCCCCACTGCGCCTCCTTGAATCATGGATGGATTTATTTCATGTTATTGGTGGCTCGTGGCTATTGCTCCCCTTTTTACTCTCTCTCTCTCTCTCTCTCTCTCTCTCAAAATGTACGGTTTCTTCTTCCCATATTTTTTCTTGGATCGTCCAACAAAGTCCACTCGTCAATGACTTGTGCAATGATATTATAGTTAACTTACTAGCTACTAAACAAACTAACAAAGATCATTAATCAACTATCTAATAAAAAGGTTCATCCTTGTTAAAAAAAAAAAACTCACTAGCTACTAAACAAAGATAATTAATTCTCTAATTCCTATGAATTTCATTAGGGGTGGCCGTTGGTTACCGATTAACCGGCCGGTTCAACCAATAACCGACCGGTTATTCGCTAACCGGTAAACTGAAGTAACCGAACATCGGTCTGTTTTCGGAGGCTGGAAAAAATGGTTTTTGGTCTTAAAAGTGGTTCGGTTAATCGATAACCGATATAATCAAGAAACCGAAGCCTATTTCGGTCGATTTTCGGAAGAGAAGGTGGTTATTTCGGTTAATCGATAACCGGCCGATCGGTTACCGATTATAACCGAAATAAACGAACTGCCACCCCTAAATTTCATGATTCCTCATGAATGAGTTTTATACCACTCTTTTACAAGGCTCCTCATACAAAAATCAACCCATCAAGTTGAAGTAGGCACAATCCTAACAGTTTTCGTTCTTAACATTCAATGTTTAGAGTATCTAAACACAAGCTCTTTTTCCCCCAATAATTCTAAGACTATGTTAAGATCCAATTAGCCCTACTAACTCTTAGTTGTTGGAAAAAGCGCAAGTGCAAGTGGATCCACTTACACGATCTGATTCCACGCAATCTCGCCTCTACTTTCAACCCAGTTCAGATTTGTCTACCTACAGAGCTGAGAGGTTTGAGTCAAAAGCATGATATTAGATCGGACTTACAATTCAGATTCATGTTCATTAATACACAATTACAAATTCGTGTATCGATTGTAAACCCATAGACTTCAAGTACGAGATTTATACACCATAAAACAATTCTTCCTTTTCTTAAACGGCCTAGAACAATCAACTTCTGTTCAAAAACTGACTCTGTGCGTCGACAACCCAACGTTTAAAAGCAGTAAATTTTTGCTACGCTCATTACAACTAAGCCAACCCCTCAGAAACACATACCCACGAGAGCCAGCTAAGTCCATAAGCCCTTATCTCATCATTCTCCAACGAATCACATGTCCAGTTAGCACTTCGCTACATGCTTCGAGTTGAGAGCTTTACTAGTGAGGATTGAGTAGCCGTTCAAGCACCCATTGAAGCCCTAAGAAAAGGGTAATATATGAATACGTGGGTGGTGTGGCCATGTGCACTCTCTCTCTCTCTAGCTCACTTACTCTCTCTTTCTCTCTCTCTAGAGCCTTAAACCGAAGGAAAGGGAGGGGACAATGATCAAAGATTCAATCGTGTGGGTTGTCCCTCCAATTTGGTACGTACGTGGACCTCTCAACTCACACAAACATGTGCACAAGACTCCCTTCCTCTTGGCTACTAAAATATGTGCATATAATATATCGTTTGTTGATGTTGGCCGACGGCAGTAGTGCGCGAGATACTTGCAAATTCAATCATGTACCCTTGAAATTCTGTCGCTTTTGCGGCCCCCCCATCGCAAGAAGAAGAACATGGGGGCAGAAATATTGCATTCCATGGGTTCAAGGCACATGCTGCCATATGAAGAAATTAAGGTCTCTCTCTTAATTGCCCTTCTCTCTCTTAATTGCCCTTCTCTCTCTCTCTCTCTCTCTCTCTCTCTCTCTCTCTCTCTCTCTCTCATATATGCTTGTGCATGTGAATAAGGCACGATTGAGAAAAGTTCAAGAATCGATCTTCACGGTCCTCTCATTCAGAAACTCATTGTGATGAGATTGAAACTTGCATATACTCGGTTTGCTTCATATCTTCAATTTGAGTATGAGTGTCACGAAAGTTACATGATTTCGACCATAGAACCCCTCATTAATGGGATCAATATCTAGTCACATAAAAGAGCGGATGGAAGTTAAGATGAGAGAGGTAGAATGGGCGATGGATAGGATTTCGATAATGAATTAACCCTTGCTGTCCGATTTCTTCAGGTCGAGAGTGGGCACTCCCTTCGACCTGATGTGTTCCACTCTGGACTATTTTTGTTTAGAGTATATACGAGTATGAATCAACATTTACTACCCATGCTCCTGCATAAAATATCTTATCAACACCCGACTTGTCAAGAAGCGTATACAGATACTTAGATACCCGCTCCAACTCGACCATAGCAATGAGTGAAAGTATGACTAGGACTTATCATTTGTTTTCAAGAGAACTATACCACACCCATGATTAGCTAATTGATTGTTGAACCGACTTGAGCATGCAAATGGAAATGCCAATAAGAAATATGAAAATGGATTATCCCAACAGGAACCCACTTTGACTTCCATGAGAAACTGCCAAAACAGACACTAGGAGATTGTCAACTTCACACCAAACTTCAATTGTTTTCACTTATCCCGTCCATGTATTATTGGACACAACGACCCTGGTTTTGGATATCATATCTCCAATTCTCAATGCCACCGCCCAAACCTACTTGATCATAAGCAAATTTTTAACAAATGAATGTAAAGCCACATCTTAATGCATTTGAGTAACAATTCTTAGAGGATTAACACAAGTTGTAGAAAAAGTTTCACTATGGTAATTCAAAATCATCAACAACAAAATCAACCTCACTATGTATGTGAGAAAGTTGGACCATTAACGTATCATGAAGTAGACAAACCAGGAGAACTGACCTAGTCATATAACCTCCGAGTCCTTTTTTCATGATAAGATACCTATAATCTCTTTGCACATAACTCAAAGCTCATTCCTTAGTTGAAAGTTAATGATCCCAAACCAATTGGCAATCGGTCCACTCGTCTAGCATCTAACAGAAACCACGCAAAACACAAATTAAAATGTGATAAAAACTTACACAAAAGTGAGACAACCCTACAAGTTCTTCAACTTCATCACATGAACACACATTCTCTACATCTCGTGACTTTTGTTACTCACAGGTCGATTGTCGTCGTTAGTGGTCAACAACAAGCGTCCGCATTCTCGTGCTAGGTAAACTCTTTCGTGCAACTACAAAGAAATTCCAAAACAAAAGTCATGTCCACTAGCCATGAAAACAAATCCATCCTTGAAAAATCAAGTTTGATCGTTAACCCGAGACGAGAAATTTAATTTTGCAACATGCCACCGTAGCTAATACGATGAATGATCCGTTATCGAGATCCCTTCTATTGATGATAGAGTAGAGCCAAATAGCGCCAACTTAGATGCTAGAGGATTCACTCTTATTAATCTAACTTTCGAGGTAACAAGACTCAACAACCGTCGACATGATACAACACCTCGGCCGATCTCTATACCTAATAGGCTATCTCCTACAACTTGCATTTACACGTAGAGTCTGGCCCTAAAACACCTGATGTGACCAACTCATAACAAAACAAACCATCTAAGAACAGGGGTAAAACATGACAAGCAACAAGGTAGAATGAATTAGGGAGATTGAACTATTGACAGACTATGTAACCTGACCTGACACGGCAGATGAGGAGGAAGAACGAAAGCTTCTTCGAGGGACCACGTGGCTCGACACCTCCTGACGACGACGTGCTGATCGCTGTTGCTGCTGACCCGAAGAACGGTTCCTGTCAGGAGTAGTAGGAGGAAGAACAACAACATCACAGAACTCTTCCTCCTGCTCCACTGTTACATTTGATTTCTCCACAGTGGATTGCTTGTCCTTCCTCGTCACTTTCTTTGTCATCAACATCTCCATGGTCAACTTCTTGCTTCGCCGAACATATCCTGTGTAAACGAGAACAACAAAGTTATGGTCTCTGGTGTAGCTTTCAGACAAAACAACGACTGATTCATGGAACCTGTCAAAATCCCGGCCATGTTTGGTACTTTGGTTCTGAAACAATACGGCAAGTTGCAAAGGGAGAAAAACAGGGGACTCTGTTTTACTATGGAGTTTTGGGTCTACATCACAAGAGTTGAAACCGTACTACTCATACAATTGGGACTGGTGATTTGAGAGGTTCCACTTCATGATCAAGATAACTGTTAATGGTACAGAATTAATTCAACCACAAGGTAGACAAGTTTTGTATAAGTTCTTAATAATCATTGAGATAGCCGTTACTTCTGAGTTTGTACAAACTTTACTCAGGCTTGAGATTTCAGGAATCACATTATCGTAATAATGAGATACTCTGCTATTACGAGATCAAATAATCGTACCATCGAGTCCAAAGCGAATCTCTCTGTATCTCCTTTCACTTCCTATCTACGGAAAATATACTCACTAGGCTCAAATTTGCTCACATTATGTCGTATTCTATGCTTAAATCAACCAAGTATTGGAACCTACTATAACTCGAACACTACATCGAGACCGATTTATGTTCATCGTGACCAAGACAAAAAGTACACAAGATACACCGAAAACATCATTTCACCCCCTACAAAAAAAGTACACATAACATGTATATGGACTTCCTAACAACACAATTCGATCTCATAACTCGAATTATTAATACGAACTGAATCTTAAATCTAAACTGCAAGCAAATAATGAGGCCACAAAATCACCTGGAATTGTTGATCTTGAAGATAGCAAGGGACCATACAAGTAAGAATCGGATTTCAGATACTGCACGACCTTCTTTCCAAGTCCCTTATTATTGTTCTTCCTTCCTCTCGCCATGTACTCAACTCCCTCTTCAGATAAACCAAAAAAATCAGAGCTCCATCAGCTAAAAACAAAGACTACCCATCAACGGAAGAACTAAAAAGATGTCGTCTTTACACTTTCTTCCTCACCTGGGAAGCTAACTTTCGGCGACGATGAAGAATCAATCACCGTCGCCGTCGTCGATAGAGGAGAATCGAGCAAAGGACCAAACAAGTAGGAATCGGATTTCAGATAGTTCGCGACTTTCTGAACCCATTTTGCGGTCTCTTTCCTGTTTGTGGGTTTGTTCTTCTTCTTCTTTAGAACTCCTAGCTGAACTTTACTCGCCATTGTTGCTTGCTTTGCTCTGTAAGGCGGTGGATGATTACTGGCAGAAGTGGGAAAGGGAGGAATTTTTCGGTTTTGGTCACTCTGGTATCGTTTTAGCGGTTGGGGAGATGGGTAGTTGACACGTGGCGAGTGGTGAGAGTGGCAGGGTGTCCTTTTGCTGTCGCTTTGGTCAGAAGGCAAACAGACAGGTGGCAATGGAGGCGAGAAGAGAGTGGGAAAAAGGAGACGCCTGTTGGGCTGGTTTCTGTAAGACTTTGGGCTTACTGGATCTTGGATTTTGGTGAGTTTGATGGGTTTTGCTCTAGATCTAGCCCAATTGAAATTGAAGCCATTGAGCCCAATGAATCACTCCACAACCCTTAGTCCATCTGGCCTCTAAACAAAGTATTGCGAGTTTGTGACTATTCTGGAGTTGATTATGGTTTGAATTATATGGCTTAGATATGGAACCTTTATGGTTAACAAATAAACTTTACTTCTAATCAAGAGAAAATGTTCATGTTGCGACTTTAAACATCTCTTGATTATAAATCAAAATTTGGACAAAAGTGGTTCAAGATTACTTATGGTTGGAGAAAAATACGAACAAATTCTCCCTTTCAATAATGAAATTGCGAAGAGGAATACACTACACAGCAATGAACTTTCCTTTCGATACTCCTTTCGACACGTAAATTTAAAGAAAATTACATGTTGTTCTCGCTTTTCTTTCACTTTTAGAACAACCCTTTTCTTTCCTTGCCCCATCTCTAATCCTTACAAATTTTTTGATCGTTTTTTCTTGTCGAATGATACATCTAAAAGCTACAGCATTAGGATATTACAAACTATATATATATGGGGGCAACAAGCAACAATTTTGCAATGTAAACACACAGCCAAGCCATCCATCCATCCATCCATCTCAACCAATGTTTCTACGTTTGTTTGAGTTTGTTGATGCTGGAGACAGGCTTCAAGCCATGCTTCATTGCAGCATTCCACACAAGATCTATCCTGTCAACATCTATTGCTCCCACTTCATGATGGGTCCATCCTTCCAAGAAGTGCACCACGCCTCCTGCGTGGCACGCGTGAACAACTCCTCGATCCATCGTATACTGAATTCCAACGAAAAAAGAAAACATCAAACGAAGTTAATCACAACATGATCTTCTAAGAAACAGATTTGAAGTACAATCTTGAGTTTCAATAGTACCCAAAGTATCCTCCATTATTGTTGAACAGACTAGATGATCAGATTGATTAGGGTTTGTAGTTTAGACTTTTTGTGTGGATGAGTTTTTACCTCACAACTTCCAAGCCCTTCAACATCATCAGGTAGCCTCATGGCAGCAAGGTCTCCATAAGTACAGTCCTTCCTGAAGGACAAAATTGGTGGCACCACAAACTGATGGAAATGGGCTCCCCGTGGAGCCCAACTCTGCTCCCTTGGTGTTATCCACTTCCCAACTATCCATGTCTGCAATAAACCATCAACAGTAAAAAAAAAAACAAAGAGGGCCCAAAAGTTAGGAGCCAAGTGAAAAACTTTCACCATCTTAAAAAGTTCACCTTGCAACTTCTAGCAGCCTGGTACTTGGTAACTTGCACCAAGTAATTCTGGCAATCCACAGGAGCTTCCTTCTGGATCTTCTGAAACCTCTCTGTCGACAATGTCAACATCTGGGGAAAGGAACATCATGTTTCAAAATACAAACATTGGTATCAGCAAACCGGCCAATAAATGGCTCGATGCGAACCTATAACATCCAACCTTAAACGAATGTGACAATTTAATTAGTATTTGGTTGCCAAATCCTTGTCAATCGCATCGAAATTATTTGGTGGTTGAGAGGTGGAAGAGAGGAGGGGGGGAAGTTAAACTTACGAGAACTCTGACTTTTCTTCTGCAGAGGTAGAGAGCTATGGCTCTTCCAAGCTTGGAAGTGGCTCCTGTTAGGAAAACTTCTTCAATTTCTTCACCAATCTCATTCAGAATCACTGCTGCTGTCAATGTGTTCCCATGGACTACTCTGACTTTCAGGTCTGGATGCTTGTTCACAAACAATGTTCCACCTCCATTCAGTGATTCGTTCTGCAACCCCAACATCAGACATTTCAGGAAATGGTAAATAGACACACTTCCAGGATCCTGAAGAACGATTCACGTTTCTTATCTACTTCTGTGTTAATATTCATTCATTCACAAGAAAGAACACACTTCAGAAAAATGAGCATTTACTTCCAACCTGTTCAGGTCGGATAGAGGTTCACTATTCAATACCTTTTTTCACCAACATCTAATTTTATCATGTACTCCAATTCTACTAAAAAACTTAAAGTTTCAATCTTTTTAACTTTTTTACCAATCTTTTTAACTTTTTACAAACGACCCAAAAGAAGAAACAGAAGCAACTGTGGCAAGTGACAAGTGTTATGTTCCTGCCAAACTAGAGATCTCAAGGTTAGGTTCAACTGGGGACCCATTCAATAGCCATAGCCATAGATTTGAGGGGCTTTCTGGTTTCGTTTGCCTCCTACTAAGTTGCTAGCCTGATGACAAGTAAGGTACCAGCTAAGCAGATTGATACTTGTCTAGCTATGGGATCGTGACAGATAGCCAGAAGTAAGAAGAAGCAGAAGAAGCTGGATGAATAAATAGGCTTGCTTCGTACGAGGTGTAATGACACAACCCATATGGCCCTCTTTCTACTTCTATTGATTGTCTGAGTCCTGCCTTTAAATCGAACTGAACTCTGGAAGCGCAAGCCACGTTGCCACCAACTATGCTGTGCACATTAATGATCTACAGTGTCAAACTGGCAATGTCCCCAAGGCACCTATTTTACATAGAATTCTTTCCTTGTCTTCCCACAAGATAAATGTTTACAAATTGTTAGAATATGCCATGTGCATTGAGGTAGGTACTTTGCAGCTGAATATCCAGCTAGTTTCGATCATGATTATGCATTTCAGACTTCAGACCTTCAACTAAACTTGTATACTTCAATTTTCATGTCAGAAAACTCTATTATGAATAGTAACTTGAAACTTCAGACCTCAATGAAGATTGACCACACAGTTAAATGGTAACTCAGTTAGCTACATGTTTAGCTTCAAGAAAAGGAAAAGAAAAGGGACTATTTCTTTTTCTTCCTATATCAGCATAGACAAATAACTGATATTTGCAAGAAATCCTGCCACTCCATGGAATAATATCCACATAGCAGAAACCAGAAAGTTAATGGGACCCCATTCCAATGTTGTGCAGTAATAATAGCAGAACATGGATTGATATGCAAAGCATTTACAGCTTCAACTACCATGGTCACCAGATTCACAGATTAAAGAGCGGTGACTCAGCAAGAAGACAGGGTCGGAGGGTCAATTAAGTCAATCCAGTGGACTCAAGGCTGCTCGATTGAAGGTGGTAGGACACGGCTTCATCACCTCAAGGTGACACGGTACGATGATTTCCTTTTAGTTTTAAGTCAAATCAATTCAATGAGCCAGCCATTTGGCCAAACAATCAGGCTAGATTTCATCTAATGTATGAAGGAAAAGAGATAGGCAAATAAACTCCACCAACCTTGTTCAATGCAGCCAGACTCAGGACCTTGACTCCAAGACTATCAGCTCTGAGAATAGCCTCATCGATCCTCTTGTTGATTCCTTCCTTTGCAAATGGCAAGAAGTACTGCAACAAATGTTTGTTCTCTTACTTAGTATCATCAACATACAATTCTCAGTCCTTGAATAAGGCCCAAAAGTTATAAAATTTACCTGGAAACCAAACCTGGGCACAACCCATGTCTCGTGGAGCTTGCCCCTTAGATTGTAGAAAGTGAAGCCAAATGTCCTGGCTTTAGCCCACATCACAAGCATCACCACGAATGTTATAGGCCAGCAAGGGATCAAGAAGGCTTGAAATCGGTATGGCAGCGATGCAAATGTCCGGAAAACAAAGGGAGCATGCATTGCAGAAGACACATCCACAACATGCGCCAAGAACACGAAATCAGGAACTCTCCCATACTTCCCTGCAACCCAAAATCAGATAGTTAGAGGACACCCTTTTGGAAATGAGCATGTTGGAAGCTTGTGTTATATTGCAAACATGGTCCCCCCCAAAAAAGCCAGAGGAGGAAAATGGGATATTTCAGAATCAAGTGGCCTTACTATAGCTGTACCCTGAAATCTGAAAAAGGTGCATTTATTTGAACCCATTATATGGAAGTCTCAAATTGACAAACAATCTGTAAAAAAGGGAGCAAAAAATACAAGGTTACCTGCTTGTGAACGTATCTTCTTGTGCAGCTCCCACGACTTGCTATTGAGGGTCTTCCCAATTGCATCGAAGATTGGCATGAAGAGGCAGAAATTGGTCTCCATCTCAGTATGATGCAGGCTATGATACCTGAAAACAAAGAAAAAAACAAACAATGTCTCAACATGTTCAATAAATTTGGGCAAATAGGACTTCAAATTAAAAGAAGTGTACAAGATTTATCTATATTATCCAAAAAGAGACCATATGGAATTTAATTTGGGGGATTTTTCCTCAAAAAGGGTGGTAGTAATGAAGGATTTTTTTAATTGCAAACCAGAGAGAGCACTGTACAAAACTTACGTTGGTGTGTAAATGAGGTATTTGAGGAAAGGGAGGGTCTGGAAAACTTGGTGAGGTACTATCTCAGTGTTGGAATGCCCCATACATCTCAAGAAATCAAACACCAAAAGATAGCCAGCAGTTGTAAGCAATGATCCATAACCCAGAAGGAAACACCCAAGAATTGGGATCCCAGTCACTAAAGCTAGCACCAGATGCTCCAGAAATGATAGTTGTAAGCCTGTTAAAGAACAGTAAAAAAAAAAAGATCAAAACTTGATCACTCATCCATTGGTTCTGCTTGGTTTTCCTGTTCCAGTGGTCTTAAAACTGTATTTTACCTGTGTATGGATGCAGCACTGGAGAAGAGTGGTGGATAGAGTGGTAATTGGTGAACAAGGAGCCTGTGTGGAAGAGTCTATGAACACAATAGTAAACTGGCTCTGAGATTCCAACATGAAGAACCAGCATCCATAACAACCCTTTTGAGTTCCATATAGGAATTGATTCCATTGGCAAGATAGAACATGCCAAAGACCCAATCATAGCTTGGAGGATCAGAAAATTATCCCTGAGAAACAAAAGAAGTATACACAATCATGAGATATGATCCTGATCAGTTCGAATCCCACCGCGGCAACTGTGCAGAATACAGCTACTTACCAATCCCATTCACTGTCCACCTGCTTGAAACCATAGCCTTGCTTGTTGATCCTGATGCTCTTGGAGAGGAACATCATGTTGACAAAAGCGGCCCATAGCATATTCACAATCTGCCTGATGTACCAAATTACTACCAAGCAAAAGCACCAATCTGGCTTCATGTAACCCTCTTGGTATCTGGAGTATAGCACTTTCCCCACCAGTGGCCCGTACAGTACATACTTCACCACACAGACAAAAAAGCAAACAGTTGGTGGACATTGAGAATACATACAGAGATTAAACAAATTGAAGAAAAAGTTTGAAACTTTCTTTGGTACCTTGTACAACCCAAGGCTCTCCCATGGCCAAGTGGACAACAAAGCAGCAGCCATGGTTCTTCCTTCCACAGAAGAACCCAATACAGGCTTTTTCACTTTTCTACAACAATAACTCTTCTTCCTCTGTTCCTTCAAAGAGAGAGAGAGAGAGAGCCCTCCCAAAAACAGAGTGATATGCAACCTTAAAAACTTGTCCACCTCCTTTCCCCTAGCTTTCCCCAAGGTACACAGACTTGGGAACGTGGCAAATTATGGTCAGAAAGTTTCCAAATTTGGCCGACAAGAGAACAAATGGGAAAAAGATTCTAGCTTGTTTCTGCAAAGTCCCAAAATGAGAGAAAATGGAGGGAGAGAGACACACAGAGAGAAGAAGAAGAAGAAGAAGAAGAAGTAACCCAGGAAGGGAGGGAAAGGTTAAACCTTTGTGACTTGACTTGTGAGAGTACATGCTATTGAATCGGCCTTACTTATATAGCTCTACGTATAAAGATTATAAAGCCTCATTAAGAGTTAGGTTTTGGAAGAAAAAAAAAAAGAAAACAATTTTTTTTTTGGTTAGTTGGGTTTTATGACCAAGTGAATCCTCCTTGGTTCCTCTCTGAATGGTTGGTAAATTAATTCAGGACAAAAAGTATAAATTTTATTTGGTAGTTTTATTAGGACTAAAAAGTGATTCTAGTAGAGTATTCGTAGTCAAATTTGAGCGTTATCCGTAAATTGTATTCGTTTTAATTTTTTTATTATTATTTACGCCTGACTTTTAAGCATGGTCCATGAAACCGTATCGGAGATCGTATCGGAAAAGTTAGCGGTAGGGTATTTTATGGCAAAACCGTGATTGAATCGTAGTTCAACCGTTAATACCGTTAAATATCGTCTATCGATTTAGCCTCCGATACTGGTATTTTGTGGTTGAACCGCCGGTACGGTACGGTTTAGTGGACCATGCTTTTAAGCAATATGAGGCGGTAGTCTCGTTCTGATATCATCCTTTTGAACTCAATTCTCCATATTCATCTTCTCGTTTCTTCCTTATTTTGATTTCTTTGAACTCATATCCAATTGTATGACAGAGTCACAATAAATTTTGAGCTTCCATCTCTCAAATTATTTGCTTTCCTTGGTTATACGTCATTCTCTCCCGCTTTTATTTAGAGATCATAATCTCTTTAATTCTCATACGGAAATTGAAATATTGCTTATGTTTTATTCGAAACACGCATCATAGCATACCGACCCTAGTAGTTCTACTCATAACTCGAACCAATTCATCCGAAATATGTGACCCCAATAAGATGACCTCATCTAACAGTTAACAATTACAAAATGATTACGAGTATTGAGATATCTGTAATTCATATTTTCAACTTGTCCCAAAAGTTACAAGAGAAAAACAAAGTAAAAAGGAACACTCCAACCTCATTACGTCCTCAAAACAAAAGCCTACAACGACCAAATCACAAAATCAAACGATACTAACTCGTCCAAACCGCTGTGAGTTGTGATTGTAACTAGAGTTAAATTTCCATTTTGGTAGTGGAGGAAGGAATGCAAAATGAAATTTCGAGTTAACTTCTTCTCCTCCTCTTTTGGCCACAGCTGTAAGTGATGGCAAAATTCCACTATACATTTATTGAGGCTAATATGGTTGGGGAGGTAGTAGAATGGAAATAGACTATGGAGCTATTCTCACCGTTGGGGGATAGGTTCCTTGCCCTCCTAAAATGGATATTTATTGGAAAATAAGTCCCTCTATTGTCGGCTGCATTAATATTATAGAGGAAAAAGGTTTACATGATAGAGTGGAAAAAATTGGTTAACATTCACATTGACATACTAATACAATAACCTTGATCTAAGGTTTCTATCTAACTATAGATTGATCCCCAACTACGAAATGGTTGTTTGGTTGTCGTTGACTATAATGTGTGGTCGATGTTGTATATAGCTTATGAAATAAAAACGAGATGTACTTAATTAGGTCATCATCACAACTCAATTCAAAACATACGTAGCTCAACTGGTACATACATGAATTTTCGACATATCGAGAGATTTATAATTCAAATGATCATACTATCGTTTTTATTATAAGTGTGATATAAGATGACTCTTATAGTTAGGTGCTACTGAATTGATTCTACCTGGGACTGCCAGGTTCAGAACTAGTGGTATTACCACGAGGCCCAGTCCTTGTTCGCGTGATCACACTATCGTTAATGTGGAGTATACTAACGATTAAGCATATGATACACATTATGTGTCTTGCCTCGTCTGTTTGTTGGCCATTTGTCATCATAATTGAGTTGACAACCACAGTGATATGGGTTTATCTTCATTATGATCGACTACGAAGAAGGATCCCTCATCATGTAAACAAGAAACTATGGACAGTAATCTCCTCGAAGTAGAGTGAAAACTGACTCTCTCCTGCCCGTGGACCAGCTAACACACATTGTGTTAGTGAACCACGTAAATCGTGTGCCGTGTGTGTGTTTGCGTTTCCGTTTTTTGCATTATCGAATCCTCCTATTTCTCGATCAGCTGAAAACATTCGTGACATCTCCCAAACGAATAAAATGTTTAGAATGGCGTACGTGAAAACACTAGAAGCTTGAGCATTTAGTGTTGGGGTTTGCTAAAAACTCCGATGAGGTTGATGTGTCGAGGCAATTGATCAATCACTAATCAAGTAAATAAATGGATAAAAGACGTACGTACGTATACATGAAGTATTAATTAAGGTAATTAAGTGGGCGATTAATTATTTAAGAAGTAGCTAGCTAGATTTCTGATCGTTAGTCGTGATGTGTCAAATCTACGTTTTCTTGGTGCTAATTAGCAAAATGAGGGGAGGAGGAAAAGGAAAGGGAAAGTGGGGTTTGCGACGTGTGTGCCATGGAAATGTAGGTTTCTAAGAGAATGCCAAAGGCATGAACCAATTTACTTACATCAATTTCAGCCCGATAGGCAGGAGTAATTAACTAAGTATGATTAAATTTTTTTAATGACAACCACTAATGACATCATAACAACAAATGAAAACAGAGCTAATCGAACATGAAATGGTGGAAATTGGGGGAATATGTGGTAATAAGATATAGAGAATGTCAGTTTGTTATTGATAATTCTTTTTTGTATGCCTCCATTTTTAGGGTGGTTTGACGGTTTTTAGAATTTACCGAAAAATGACTTCCACACCGACCCATACATCCACCCAAACACGTACTGAATTACTTATAACTGGATAAATCTGATGGCTGATCGATTCATGTCCATCAAAGACAGGGGCGGATCTACGTTGGTCTTTGGGAGGCCTCGCCCCCCCCCCCCCCCCCCCCCCCCTAAATTCTGAAATCACGTGTTAAGTTCGATAGGAGTTTGGAAATTTACGTATAAATTGACTGTCATCTATAGGTACACCTGTGTGCTCAGGTGAGGCATGAATTGCCTGGTCGTTTAGCGGTAGGGTTATGCCCTCTTGTTGAGGGTAGCTGGGTTCGAACCTTCCATATGTCATGTTTTTTACATGTTTATGTTTTAGAGTTTGGTAGTTTCTTACATTTTAGAGTTTGTTAATTTAATATACTAGTTTTATTTGACCAAAGGGTAATTTAACAATTTAAATAATGTCAATTAAGTTGTTCAACTTTTAAATTTATATTTTTAATAGTTCTTTTGGTTATATGATTCCGTAATTAATTTTTTATTTGACTATAAACAAATTTAATCTATTAATTTTTATAGTTTGTTTTATAAGTATTGTACTTTTACAGAAGAAATTAACATTAGATATAGAAATTTAGATTTAGATTCTACGTTTTAGAGTTTGGTAGTTTCTTCCACGTTTTAGAGTTTGGTAGTTTCTTACGTTTTAGAGTTTGTTAATTTAATATACTAATTTTATTTGACCAAAGGGTAATTTAACAATTTAAATAATGTCAATTAAGTTGTTCAACTTTTAAATTTATATTTTTAATGATTCTTTTGGTTATATGATTCCGTAATTAATTTTTTATTTGACTATAAAAAAATTTAATCTTTTAATTTTTATAGTTTGTTTTATAAGTATTGTACTTTTACAGAAGAAATTAACATAAGATATAGAAATTTAGATTTAGATTCTAATTTTTAATTCAAATAACTTCTTATATTATTATACTAATATTAATGATAATAAATAATATATTTTCTTGTACTATTTTTCTTATCATTTTTTTCACTTTTGACGATAATGTAATAGCTAACTCCGGCCCACCAATTGTGAAATCCTGGCTCCGCTCCTGATCAAAGGTACAATAAATTAGATATTTTCCAACCTTTGGTATAATTCGTGGATATATAGTCAAATATCAAATTCTCAAGGATTGATCCGTTCCGGTTCTTACTATGTCATAGATGATAAGCCACAATGAAGACAATCACGTATTTGCACTCATGTGTGTATATATCTACCGTGGGATGCAAGCAAAGTCAAATACTATCTACTCATGTTGTATATTATCCTCCTAGCCTATCGTTGATTCGCCGACCGTATTTAAAGCCCCGAGTGAACCAAGGGAGAAAAGACCAATAAAGTATAGATATACGGTCCATCGTATTCGTACATGCATATGTTAGGTGTCACGTCGTTCGTCTTTTATAGTTGGGAGTATGTTAGATACAGCGGTTTTCTATTTATACGAGTTTTTTTGGACCAAATCATGGGAACTACTATACGGTATTGCATTACATACCGTATAGTAGTCGTCATGGGTGTTTCCAATTGCTCGTTCGTGTTTTCCTGACCGATGAAAGGGTTGACCTCTTCATTGCTCCACCGAAGTGATAAGAGTATATATAGTCAAAGTAATTACGTATCCAAAACAGAAACAATACATCCAATAGGAGAAGTATCTAGCAAGAGATCGCGAGAGTGCTACGTAATATCATTGCATGCACTGTCTAACGCTTCAATGTATCGATATAACGTGATATTACTTTATTGTTACTCCTAAAAACTCATAAGAATACTATTAAAAACTAAATTTATTCTTCTTCTTCTCTTCTTTGGGATGGATCATAATTTATTATCTATTTCCCTTTCAACATATTCACTTATCATTCATAAAGAAAACCTAACATTATTCGACGGAAAGCTTGGCCCGTTGGCCGCCCCACCATTTTAATTACTTGTCCTAGTCGGTCAATAAACCCAAAACTACTTTAGATTTGTATGAATAACTCTTGTCCTTTATTGATATCACTCAGAAATAAAAAAAAATAATAATAATATAACAATAAAAATAATAAGAGTAATAAGAGTACTAATAATTCATCACCCATCAATCCACCCCCTTAAAGCAACCTCGTCCCCCAGATTGGCGAACACCTACGTAGATGTGAAGGCGATGGGACACGATGGTGGTGACTAGATATTGACTTGCGCTTCGATGCATCAATA